AATACTTGAATTGAATTGTGTTGTGTGATACGAGTGATTGAATATATGAAGTAATGGGGAAAAGAAAAATGCCAAACATGGTCTGTTTTGTTCGGTAAGAAAATGTGCCAAGAGGTCGACGAAAAAAGCAGGGAAGGGGACATAATTGAGAAGGATGGTTCTAGATCGAAAACAGATATGCTTGGCTATGGACTATGCTGGTAATTTCTCCATTTTTCCACCACAGAAAAAGAAGAAAATGATTAGTGGGATCGATCGATGGTGGGATGTGGCGTTTTCAGAGAGAGAGAGAGTGAGTTGTTGGTAGCTGGGAAAGGTATGGTGGAATGGAAAATGTATATATGTCCAAAATCCTTTCCATCCTTTCCATCTCCTTTCATTTTGGGCCAAAAGTTGTTTGATATCTATATTATTGCCATTTAAATCTTTTCAATTTAATTGGAATAATATAAGGGTTTCAAATTGCAACGTGTCTGTTTGAAGAAATGATTAAGGTGATGATTTCTTTAATAGTTTTCTTGAAAGAAGTAGATAGCCTCGTTTTCTTTCTTCTTTCTGCATGTGTGCATGTGAAATGAAAGGTGGTTTTAGTTAACTTAACTTGTTAATCAAAACATTAATCTGTATGCATCTTCTTTCGAAATAAATTTATTGATTAGAATAATCTCTCGACAGATCTAATAAACTTAAAGTGAGAAACAACAAATGATTAGATTCTTGTAGGTTTTGATTATTTTTGTGGGCTAACTTTAACGAACTATAAGAAATTAAGTATTATATGTAGGTGTTGGCGTAAAAATAGCTATCAGGGACAGGGAGCATAACCCAGAAATTAGAGGGGAAGTTAACAAAATTTGAAAGAAAATCACTTGATCCAGCAAACCAAATGAGTTCTTGGTCGGATTTGTATTTTTTATTCATTATTTTGTTATTTATGCATGGATCCTTTAAACCAAAAACAAGAAGAATAAAGGACTGGAAGCTTGAGTTCTTATCTCCGTTGACGTACTTAGCTTGTATCCAAAACGTGTCTTGTGATGAAATTATGTCTATACGAAACAAAATGACCTGTCGACAGGTATAAAATATAAATACTAATTTCTTATGCAAGTCTCATATTTGAATGACTTTCTTCTCATATCAATCATACAAGTAAATATATATATATATACTAATTAAACTGATTAAGGAACCTTGGTGGTCACCTTCATTGCCTCTCTCCATCTTTAGAAAATTGTTTAGGTCTGCATCACAAATTTGACCCTTTGTTTACACCAAATTAAAAAGCCGGAAAACACCTTCATTACCTTATTGGGAGGAGGGATTCTTGTTCTTGATTAATCAGCCAACGTGAAGGACTGGTCATTATTCTTTGTTTCTTGCGTACTCCTTCAATTCCATTTGTTTATTGCATGGTCTGCTTTGGCCTGCACTCGAACCCCCAAACATGAACTTGACAACTGCCCCCAAACTTGAACTTGACCATTTTGCCCATATTTGGTTTAGTGGTTTAGTCAAATGCGTAATTAAATTTAAACATCTCATTTCTTTTTTAGTCTTCAAAATTTGTGGTTTATTTTGTCCGCCTGGTCTATACATTAGCCGACTCTCGAAATATATTATGGTCTATAGTTTTCATATGCACAAATAGTGATTTGTTATCTAACCTTCATTCCATCCTTACAAAAGAATGCATTCGCATGGCCTCTTTTCCTAGCTAGGCGTAGTATGCAAGTAGGCTAAGCCTATGTCACGAATTAATTGGTCTCAATAATTTTGAGTTGTTGGCAAAAATTTAATTATGAATCTTATACCGCTTACGAACACACCCTATCATAAACGAAAGCAAACTCATATGAGCTTGTACATTGCATGGATTCAAATACCATGTGCTTAACATTGGGGATCATCGAGATTAATTTGAAGACAATACCTCTCGACTATTGAAGATTTTGATACCATGTCACAAACTAATTCATCCCAATAACTCGATTTATTGTTAGGATATGTTCAATAATGAATGTTTCATGTAAGGGAAATTTTGGTAGTGTATTGAAGTTAAATAAATCATATATGGATACTAAATCTACTTTGACCTAATTAACACTTTCGTGCAAAATATTACTTAAAAAAACAATGCTTTAGAAATCGTACCCTATATCAGGTTGGACCATAAATATCGAATACCAAACACCAAACCGATAAATAATTAAACCACAATTAAATCATAGTTTTAGTGACAAAGTACTGGTACCATTAACTTTCTAATATGACCTCCGGTAAAATTTTGTCAAATCATATCGCCAATAAAAAGATTTCTTGTGTGGAAAAACATGGAAGAAGAAGACTTGGTCAGATCAGAAGTAGAGGTGGCAATTGGATCGGATTCGTGGATTGGATTGGTGGATCCATGGATCCAATGGATTAGTGGATTCATGGATTGGATCCAATGGATTGGTGGGTTGATCCATGAATCCAAATGACATCCAAGGCTTTGACCAAAATGTAAATTTTGAAAAGTTTAGGTACTAAAATGTCATAATGAAAAATTTTAGGTACCAAAAAGTAATTTTCTAATGATTTTTTCGTATAAAAATATAAATTTTAGGTACCAAAATGTAAAATATAAAAAATATAGGTACAAAATCATAATTTGCCATTTGGATCCATGGATTGATCCATGAATCCACCAATCCAATTGGATTTGGATCAAATGGATTGGATTTACATGGATTGGATTAAGTGGATAATTTGTTGGATGAATTGGATTGGATTCATGGATTTGGATCCTAATTGCCACCTCTAAGAAGAAGAAACCAGAAAAGAACATCGAGCGTACAATGAAGTAATGAGCTGCTAGTGCCGGTAGCAGTCAACATGGAGTTCAGTACATAATATTGCGCAAACTTTCAACGTATAATAATAATAAATTAATAACCCCTATGCAGGCAGTAGAACAGAAACATTTCCGACCGACGACTTCCGCCGAACATTAACTTCCCGTTGACATTTTGGGCCAATGAAACCTGTCCCGTCCCGAGTTTAGCCTCTGTACGTCGACGGCGACTACTCGATTTATTAATTTCCCGGTGGAAGGAATGATGAATTAATGGACCCATTATTTGGTTAATTGGTTCCGGTTCAAGAGCTAGCCAAGCCAGCACTTCTGAGCCATAGTTAGAAAGAAATAAGAAATGTCATTTATCGCTTATTTCAGTGATTCTGTGGCCATCCACGTCTTTGCATAATTGCATATGCATCGTGCATGGGACGGGAGTGAGTAGATCAGGGTACCAATGCCATACTACCATTATTGTCCATTCCGGCCTCCGACATAACTCAATTATGGTGCTCACAGATCTTTTGCAGGAACGTGTTCATAAGGTTATACAGTCGTCGGATTACGCGGCGTCACGTGCTCTGTGGCAGTTGGATGAACACGATAATATTTTGTTTACAACGTTGATCCAATAACTGTGAAAGAGAATGACGGTTTCTAAAACATGATTTATTTGGGAAGCTATATAATGTATTTACAAATTCAATATGTTAAAAGGGAATGACGATTTATTAAAGAAGAATACATAATATATGCATCTATAATTGGACGAGTTCGAATTAGATGGTAAGAAAATCGTGTTCATTCATTATCTGTATTATTATAAAAATTTGGAATAACAATAATAATAATAATATAATATTGGATCTAGTAAAAATATTAAAATAATGATTACAAATCGTGGTACATTAGAGTCCTAACAACAGCCATCGTTTATGGCTAAGTTCGAGTCTTATGTTGCAACTCATCATTGATGAACGTTCGTGGGAAGCAAAGTCCATGCAAGACTGAAATTCTTGGTCATAGCTAAGGACCAATTGGCCAAAGCCGGCGGCCCAGCACTCTATACGATCCAAAAAATGTTAACTATATATAATCCATTTGTGCTACGTTCGTACGTACGTATTTCTACAAAATTTGTTATTCCCCACATATATATAATAAATAAATTATATAATACATTGTCTTGCTTGCATACTACCAGTGACATCATGATCGGTGGAGGCAACAATTAGATACATCGAATAACAAATTCAATGTATACATCCTCTTATATTTTCAAAGTCCTTGAATCGGCGAATCAAATTTCTAAAATACGAATTTTGTATCGTAATGTAATTAAATAGTTAGAAGACAAAATAAGAAGTCGCGAAAGTAATTTAAACCGAACTCTCGATAACTTTTTATACTATTATATTATTGATTTGCTTAATTGTGTATGTCGTCATCGATCTTTAATGGATCATTCTCATATAGTATTTATCTATTTCCCATCGACGTCTCTAGCTAGAAGACATTGATGGACAACAAATGCCGGTTCTCAAAAGAGTACTCATGGAGGGAATTGTTGGTACGTGGCAAACCCTAAACTTAGGGTTTCCCTCTCCAACCGACCTAACCTATCGATCTACCTTTCTCAATGTTGTAGCTCTCAATGGTGAGTTAATTAAGCTTTGATCTAATGCCGTATCTTTGATGCCTATTCTCAATGTTCATAGACTAAGTACCGATTTAGGAACGAAAATTCATGGACGAGGTTGTTTGTCTCCTTCATAAATCACAACATATGCCAGAACCATGTGTTAATATTATTATTTATTTATTTGCCAAAAGTGACCAAGTTTCTTGTAGTCACCCTTTTCTTGGGCAACAATACAAGAGATGCACAAACGGCATTTTCCCTCCGATTATTCCCGGGAAACAAACAGACAACCAAGGGCATATTGGGGAAAGCCACCAAAATCCTTATTCCCGTTTTCAATTATTTTTTATTTTTTGCGGGAAATCCCAGCCAGCCAGCCCAACCAGAGAATCTAACCATGGTTAGCACCTCGTTGTTAGGTGAGCGCGAGATTGCCCTGACCACTGACCAAGTCGAGTTTGGTGGGCGTTGAGATTTTATTTTCCTTTATTTTCCTTTATTTTTCCTTTCTTCCTTCCCCTTATTAAACCCAACCTCTCACTTCCCATCTCTCCAGGGAAAGAAATTTTTGACCAGGAAAAAGAAAAAAAAACTGAATTGAACTAAGCAAGATTTCTCTCCTCCCCTGAATCGCCGGCACCAACTCCCACCCACCACAAGGACCTCCAGCAAAAGTTCAGGGATTCTCAATTCCAGCGAGGAGTGAATTACTTGGAATTGGAAATGGACTCGCCCTCGTCCGCAGCGGCGGCGTCGTCGGGATCTCTGTCGGCGATCGATCTGATGGCGGCAATTATCCGGAGGAAGTTCGCCGACCCGTCCAACGCGTCGTCAGAGCCGGGAGGTGCGGTGGCGGAGGTGACCTCGCTGATCCTGGACAACAGGGAGTTTGTCATGATCCTGACGACCACGGTAGCCGTGCTGATCGGGTGTGTGGTGGTGCTTGTGTGGAGAAGATCCAGCTCGCAGAAGCGGAGCTACCAGCCACCGACGCCGTTGGTTATCAAGAAGAAGGAGGAGGTGGTGGTTGATGATGGGAAGAAGAAGGTCACCGTGTTCTACGGTACTCAGACTGGTACCGCTGAAGGATTCGCCAAGGTTCGTCTCAATTTCTTCTCTGTCTCACTCATCTCACCATATGAGGGGTTTCATAAGCTTGTATTGATTTGAATTTGTAATTGTCTTGCAGGCTCTAGCCGAGGAGGCGAAAGCCAGGTATGAGAAAGCAGTATTCAACGTTGTTGACATGGTGAGTTGAACCTGAGAATTCCCGATTTTAGCTTTTTGACTTTTTTTCTCTGTTGAATCCTTGTTGTTTTGAATGAATTGCCGAATTGCGGTGTTGACTTTTTGACCTCTGGTTTCATTAACAGGATGATTATGCCGGGGATGACGATGAATACGAAGAGAAGTTCAAGAAAGAGTCCATCGCATTCTTCTTCCTCGCTACGTGAGTGAATTGTCGGACTCTGCAACTTTCTAAAGCTTCTTCCTTTTGTTTGAATTTTGATCTGGTTAAGTAACACGGTTCAATTGGTGGTTGGGGCGGGCAGATATGGAGATGGTGAGCCGACCGATAACGCAGCAAGGTTCTACAAGTGGTTTATTGAGGTAAAAATTTCAGCTGTGGATTAAGTGAAATGGGCATTGAGTTTAGTCCATGTATAGAGCATAAATTGACTGATTGCATGCAACAGGGTAAAGAAGCTCGAGGGGAATGGCTTAAGATGAAGTATGGAGTGTTCGGCCTTGGCAACAAGCAATACGAACACTTCAATAAGGTATTGAAGAGTGCTCTTAAATTGGCGCCTTTCCGAATTTTAGCTGACGACCAAAGTTATGAGAGTGAATGTGGATGAAATTTTTGTTTTTGTTGGTTGATACAACAGATTGCTAAGGAGGTGGATGATATTCTCGCTGATCAAGGTACAGTTTTACATTCCCTTTGAGCCTTACAGAAATGGAGTTCATGTTGTAGTTAGATGATGGGGAACCAGACCACTGAGTTAATAGAATATGGTACACATTATGACATATGTAGTGCTGTTAGCTAATTGGGTGCTTCTTGTAGACTGACAGTTTAATGAAGCTTGTAATTATAACTGAAGTTAGGTTATGAGAAGATTTATATCATGCGACTGATGATGGTAACTCTTTGTATTTCCAGGTGGCAAGCGCCTTGTTCCTGTGGGTCTAGGTGATGACGATCAATGCATGGAAGATGACTTCTCTGCATGGTGAGTGAGGTTACTTAGTAGTCTTCATTTTTGTGCCAACTACCAAGAACTGCTTAGCTTCCATATGGTAAAATTCTGATATGCCTTTCTGTCTGTGTGGCAGGAAAGAGTTGGTATGGCCAGAGCTTGATGGGTTGCTTCTTGATGAGGATGATCAAACATCTGCTACCACCCCTTATACCGCTGCAGTGTTGGAATATCGGGTTGTGTTCTATGACTCCACTGACGCACCAGTAGAAGACAAAAGCTGGAGTGGTGCCAATGGCCATACTGTTTATGATGCTCAGCATCCATGCAGGTATATTCATAGATATTTCACTGCCTGTATTTACTTAGTTACTTTCTGTAGTTTCATGGTCTAACATAAATTATCCATTGAACTGAAGGTCGAATGTTGCCGTGAGGAAAGAGCTTCACACTCCTCTTTCTGATCGATCTTGCACCCATTTGGAATTTGACATTGCTGGCACTGGACTCTCGTAAGTTGACGGTGTTCTAAAATCTGTAATGTCTTACTTCTGTTTTAAACATAACACAAATTCTCATCACTGTTTTAACTGTTTTTGCTTCAGATATGAAACTGGGGATCATGTTGGTGTGTACTCTGAGAATGTCGAGGAGGTTGTAGAAGAGGCACTGCAGTTGTTAGGCTTGTCGCCCGACACTTACTTCTCCGTCCATACCGACAAAGAGGATGGCACACCACTCGGTGGAAGCTCATTGCCAACGCCATTCCCACCGTGCTCCTTGAGAACAGCTCTCACTCGATATGCCGATCTTTTGAATGCACCGAAAAAGGTTAGAATACTTATATTGTTCTTTTATAGTTCTGCTCTTTTGCCAAGCTGATTGAAGCTCTTCTCTAAGAAATTGTTCCTCTTGCCATCCAGTCTGCTTTGCTTGCTTTAGCAGCTCATGCTACTGATCCTACTGAAGCTGATAGATTAAGATATCTCGCGTCACCTGCTGGCAAGGTAATGATTTTCTTAAGCAAGACTCAGTTGATTATATCATTTGTATTGTTGGTTTTAATAGGTAAGTTAACCATCATTCTCTTTTCTTAAACATTCTACAGGATGAATATGCGAAATGGGTAGTTTCAGAACAGAGAAGTCTCCTTGAGGTTATGGCTACATTTCCCTCTGCAAGGCCCCCACTTGGAGTTTTCTTTGCTGGAGTCGCTCCTCGCTTGCAGCCTCGATTCTATTCTATCTCTTCATCTCCAAGGTGAGCATAGTTTGTACCCTTTTTTGTCCACTCAATTATTAATTTTTTCTTTTCAACACTAATTGAATTCTTATGTACTGATCATCAACCATTGATTTTGTAACAGGATGGCGCCATCTAGAATCCACGTGACTTGTGCTCTGGTGCTTGAGAAAACCCCAGGAGGACGGCTTCACAAGGGAGTGTGCTCAACTTGGATGAGGGTATTTACTATTTTCTATTGCGTGTTTGCCAACCTTTCTGTTTTATTTTCCTGACGAGAAGCTAGTGGATAGAGGGGCAGATGGTAACGGTCACCTGTTATCCTGCAGAATGCTACTCCTATGGAGAAGAGCCAAGACTGCAGCTGGGCCCCCATCTTTGTTCGACAATCGAATTTCAGACTTCCTGCAGATACTAAAGTTCCCATCATAATGATTGGTCCTGGGACTGGGCTGGCGCCTTTCCGTGGCTTCCTGCAGGAAAGACTTGCACTTAAAGAATCTGGAGCAGAACTTGGGCACTCTATCTTCTTCTTCGGTTGCAGAAACCGCAAGACGGTAAGCTGCTGTTCCCGTGGAATTCTGGGGGATGGGTTTCGCTGTAATTTTGCGTGGTCTCATGATCTCATGGTCTGAAATTCATGCGTATAGGATTTCATCTACGAGGATGAACTCAACAGCTTCGTCGAAACCGGTGCACTCTCTGAGCTGAACGTTGCCTTCTCGAGGGAAGGAGATACCAAAGAGTATGTGCAGCATAAAATGATGCAGAAGGTAAATTCCCTCTCTTTTGTGGCTTTTGGTCGATGATTAAGATGTCTCTGTTCTTGTTAATACTTTTTGTTGCTTACAAGCACCGTCTCACCTCATCATCTTTCTGGTCCAGGCTTCGGAGATCTGGGACCTCATCTCTCAGGGAGCCTATGTTTACGTATGTGGTGATGCCAAAGGCATGGCCAGAGACGTTCATCGAACTCTCCACACCATTGCGATCGAGCAGGTGCGAAATATTCTGCTATTTCTGGTTTCTGCATGGTTTCTGCAAATCGAATCACTTTTACAAATCATATGTTCAAACACACATGGAATTCTTGGTTACCTGGGACCCTTAGTTGTGCCTGTGCGCGTGTATTTCTTATTGCTGAGTCGCAAATCCTGCTCTTCTTTTGTGAACCAGGGATCGCTCGACTCATCCAAGGCCGAGAGCTTGGTGAAGAATCTGCAAATGAGTGGTCGGTACCTGCGTGACGTGTGGTAATTACTTGTTAACCACGCACTATCGAGCCTAAATTATTAATAAAGAAAGAAGAAAAAAGATGGTGAAAAGAGGACACTTCTGGGGAAGAAGTACAGGTTTTGCCAAAATGCAAAGCCTTTTTGATGATGGGGTGAAACTTGAAAGAGATGATCGAATTGGTGAGAGGGCTAAATATTTGTCCTTCCCCATGTGCATCTGAAATAGGGTTATTGTTACTGATCGATGTTGTATCATGTTATAGTAGACGACTACACTATTCTTTTTGTTCTCTCTTTGATTTTTCACTATCGTGGAAGGATTATTGTTGCTCTGTTTATTCTTTTCTTTTCCCACTTTTTTCTTTTTTGGGATGATGGTCATGTAAGTTAATGTATTCCATGTTGATTAGAGTTGTATTAAGTTTAAGTTGTTGAGAGATTCATGTATGATACTTAACTACTTTTTTACAAATTATTTTCAACGAAAGTCAATTTATAGGCTTCAAGTTTGTATAGGTTCGTCATATCATATGCTTTCCAGACAACAATTAATATGAGAGGTCTTAAAGACAAATCAATTCTAATACAAACTCAAAGACAAAAAATCAGGTTATCGAGAGAGAAGTTCATTTGTACTTAACCACTAGACAAACTATTTTGGGCGCTTCAATGAAGCCCAAAACACTGAAAGAGTAGAAGTAAGAGCCCATGACATGCACTCGGCCACATGACATGAAACGGTAGTACAATGATTTGGCCATCTCGAGCATGAGCATGACACTTTTCGTGATTAGTAATTAAACATTGACAAAAACAAATGCACAACCAAAATCTCAAAACCTGAAAACCACCTATTTCAAAAATTGACAAAAATAAGGGTAAAAAGGTATGGTTTTGATGATCCATATGTGACCATCATTAGTCAAATACCCAATCCATCTTTTCTTTGCATTTCCTTTGTCACCTTATTACTTAACAATGATCATCTTCCCACTTCCTTTTCCCAAATTGGCTTTTCAAAAAGTCGTTTCATGGATCCACACATGATAAAAATTCACCCCCATTTGCTTTTGCTTTTGATGAATCATGTATCCCTTTGCCTTTGTAGCACCATACATTTGCTCTCTACTTATGAACAAATGATTGAATTCCCAAACACACCCTGAAATTTAATTCTACACTTATACAGAGTACACCAAGATACATAATCTTAATGGAAATAACGAATATGACTTTCAGGTACGAGTATATCTTATAGCAAACACGACAAATTAACTCAATGAGGCGATATTGATTAAATTTAATGCTTGTGTGAAGCCATTGATTGTGCATGAGATGGCATTGGGCATAGAGCCTAATCACCAGCATGAATAGTAGCTTGTTGACGGAAAGCACATACGATGAAGAAAGTACAAAAGAATGCCTATCGAGACCATTATGGTACAATTTGTTGCTATGACTTCAATTCGATCAGAATATCTGTCATTTACTACTGAAATTTACGGGGTCCCGATGTTACACATATGCTTGGGCCTTGTCTGTCACCTCTTTCATTTTCAAGTTGAATAAGGATTAGGTCGTCTGGAGAATGTGCTACACATATATACTTTCTCAATCTCTCTGTAATTCGTATCTATTCAAGTATAGTAAAACTGGTCTCTCCTATATGTGGAATCGCTAACACACATCGTGTTAGACTATTGTCTAAACCTCATATCACAGTTATACGAGAGGAGAATATAGAGGTAGCCATATATAGAGTCACGTTCACTCATAGCTTTACTCATTCATTATTTTGTTATGTTCATGTGTGTGGGTCTTTTGTCTTGTAACGTAACACTTGCTGCTGCATGTGAAATGCTGGCGCAGATTTGATCGTTCGAGACAGAGAGAGACTGATGGGTAGAGGGCCGGCGTGGCTGATATATACATATATGCATGGCGACAACAAAATGCAGGCCGCACATTAGCTAGCTAGGGTTTTTGTATCTCATGGACCATAAGTTTATGTGGCAACGAGACACCCTAATGTGAGCATGCACGTTCGATCGATTCTTCTCCAACAAAGATCACGATGAACTGATCCCTTGAAATGCAGGTAAATATGGGTTCGCGATGAGTTTGATCGATTGTCGTTTACGTCCTTAGATATGTCATGTACAAATGTTCCAACGACATTTAGCATGCATGCGAGAGATTAATCATTATGTACATACGAAGACCCGTGGTAAAAAATATAGGTGACTAGTCGTCACAAATGAGTAGTGATGCTCAAATTTTACCAGGTTGGCTACCATACGTTGATACGAATGGGCATGCATGACTCATGAGTGTGCATATATTCCCACATGCAAGCTGATTTATAAGTTATCGACTGTCGTCTGTCCGAATTGACATTTTCAACCGACCATTTACCAACCCCGAACTCGATCTCTATACCGATCTCCATTTTAGGCTAGTATAGTTGATGGTACCAACTACAAATTTGCCAAACTTCCTATGTCCCATCTCCTCCATTTTCCTGTAATTCTAGTTCTAGCTAGGGTTCTATCAACCGAATCATAACGTGACACTGTTCAGGAGACCAAATATGTGACAACATATAGTTCCATCTCTAACATGATCTCCACCGAATTCTTCATTTCCATGTGCCTGTTTTTAGTCAGATACAATGAATGGCCTTTTGGGCCTGCCTGAAATCAGAATGACCTGACCTTTGTCTGTTCAATTCCAACCAATGTATAATAAATCCTGATTTATCTATATCCGTGCTCAATTATTTGGTTATTTACATGTCAATCTTAATCCCCATGATTAGTTCTTCAATTATGCTTTGTGCTATGCTTCATTTTTACTAGCTTAGAGCTTAATTAAAAAAAATGAGATCAATTATGAATCAACACTCTGACGCGTTTTGGTCACTTGTTGTTGCCATCTATCTCCTTTTTTCTCTTCTCTTTACCATCATTATCTCATGAAAAGTCCCCGACAATCATGATTTTATCAATGGTTTAATTTGTCTTTATGATAATAGTTGTATTGAGGCTACTGCATGGCAAACTGTAGGAGTATACTACATTTCGATTCATATTAAATTACGATAATCGTTATCTTATATTAAAAAGATAATTTAAGAATCAGAATCATATAATCAGTTGACTCCAGATATCGATTCAGTGCATCTTTCTTTAACATGAAGCAAATTCGTGAAGTTGAGAATCAAATCACAATATTATTTTTTTATCTGAATTGGACCAATCTAAACGTCGAACCCATGTAAACTGTTAAAATTTTTAGTCTCTGAGTCGAGCTCCATTGAAGACAATTATGATCCTCTATGTATTGTTCAAATTGCAGTTATTCATTTAATTTTTTTCTGTTCCGTTGGAATATTTGATCGTCATTTATGTTTTTCCTGACTTTTTGGTAGGTGAAGGGTAATATTAATAACTAGTAACCATGTTTACACAAACGACAAGGATAAAAACAATTAGGGTTCACATGAAAGGTTGATCTCCAATCTCACCGGCCATATCATTATTGGATTTGGCTCCTCTCCCTCTATAAAACACCAACAAACACCACTACTTCCATTGTCCCCAAAATTTCCTTGCCCTTCATCATTGTTACTTACTATTACTTACATTGGTTAATAGGCTCCAAAAGATTTCACCCTATCAACATAGAGTCAAGAGACTTGGATCAAATTCGGATTTATATTTTTATCTGATTCATTTAGATCAAATCGATCGAACCTAATTTTATGATCAAGATTGAACAAAATTATGAAGTTTGGTCTACACCATTGTCGTGCATATACTAGAGTTTCCCGTTATGAACCAATAAGTTACAATATTTTGATTAACTTGTACAAGATTTTGTCCACCAAGAGTGGAGGTTCCACATAAGAGGTGAACTAACCATCATCTCTATACAAGAGGATTGCTACTTCATGGCCAACATAATGAAAGTTAACATATTTTATGAAATTCGAACATCTACATATAATATATACCCTCTTTCATAAACCCATAAACCAAAACTAATGCCTTAATATCTTAAGTCTGATCAACATCACAATGGGATAAGGAAGGTATTCCCCATTGAGGGAGCAAACCAACCAAAACTAATATGCCCTAACTAACAAAAATTTGCAACAATTACTCACCTTCCATTCCATGTAAAAGCCAAAACTTGCTTTTCTCTCCCATATTTTCTCCTTCCTCTCAAGATAACTACCACAACAGAGAAAAGTAAGCAAACCCAACTAACACAAAATTACAAAACTGAAGGTACCAATATATGAACAAATTCACTTTCTTCTTCCGTCTCTCTCTCTGTCCCCACGCGCAACCCACCTCACTCACTCGCTCTCCTCTCCTTCCTCACAGTGCCGGACAGTTCAGAATAGTATACTACTAGTCCTCCACATTCGCCATTTGGGTTGCCAAATCCCATCCCAAATGTACCCAAAAGCAGCCATCTTTTAAAAGCTCTGGGTCTGCTTCCCTTTTTCCTCCAATGGCTTCCGGGTGAATGGATCTTCCCCTTTCTTCTCGGCCGAAAGCAAAAAGGAAATGTAATATATTGGTGTTTGTTTTCTACCATTATTCTTTGCTTCCATTCTTGGGTCGATGCATTTCTTACTTGCTCACCATTTTCCCCCATCTTTACATTTTCCCATTGGATTTCCCCCCACAGATTCGCTTGCTCTCTACTTGGTCAGCTCAAGTCACTAGCACTTCCATTTACCACTTGGATCCGCTCCTCTTACTCTGGTAATTTACCGTTTCTGGTCTGTCTTTTGGGTGCTTGGTAGTTGCTTGATTGCGCATTTGGGAGCTGCTTAGAGCAAATGGTTCTGATTGTTAATGGTGTTTGCTCTCGAATGGGAAGTTCATTTATTTCAGTTTGCTATCTAGTGTGGCCAAACTGGGAACGGGGTGAGATTTGCTTCTTCCTTTTCATTATTAGCTTTCACCACCTCCCTGCTTCAGCTGTAGTTCTTGCAGTTAGTTAGAGATTTGTGATTTTTCTTAAGGTGAAAGCTTCAGTTTTGCTCTTTAGTTTTGTTCTTTATTGCCTTTCAAACTTGGTCTTTGAGTGCAAATCACGCCTTCAAAATGGCTGATATGTTAAGTTAGTTTGATCAAGTGGGTGTTAATTAGTTATTTGGTGAGATGAAAATGGTCCATCAGTTTGATTATCCACTATATCTTTGAATTAAGTATAGTCACTGCTGTAGTGAGTTTGAGTTGCTTGAACATTTTGCTTGCTTGAGAATGAGGGAGTTTTGTGAATGAATGGAGCAGGTTGATCTCGCTTTGGAAAAATGAGGATGGTGGAGCTTTTGTGTACAGTACTAGTTCTTCTACTGTCACTCTTGATAAATGGGGAAGCTGAGGTTTACATGGTGATGATGGAGGAAGAGCCAGTCATAAGCTATAGAGGAGGCATTCCCGGGTTTGAGGCAACTGCTGTGGAGTCCGATGAAAAGATTGACACAACTAGGTACTACCCGCATCTCTGTACAAGTTTTCAGTAGAATCGAACATGAATGTTTGTGGTGATGGATTCTGACTTCCATTTCTGACTTGGACCTTGTTTTTTGCAGTGAGGTGGTTACATCCTATGCGAAGCACCTTGAGAAGAAGCACGATATGCTTCTCGATATGTTGTTTGATAGTGGAACATATCAGAAACTTTATAGCTACCGGCATCTTATCAATGGCTTCTCGGTTCATATGCCACCTGAACAGGTGATTATAACTTCCTTTTGATATTTCAATTCTTTCTGTTTGTTGTTGCCCGCTTTCGCTTACACTACCACAATTCATTAGTAGGTAGAAACCTTAAGGCGTGCTCCTGGAGTGATATCGGTGGAGAGAGATTGGAAAGTTCATAGACTCACAACACATACACCACAGTTTTTGGGCCTTCCTACTGGAGTTTGGCCAACAGGGGGTGGCTTTGACAGAGCTGGGGAAGACATTGTGATTGGCTTTGTGGACTCCGGGATTTATCCTCATCACCCGAGCTTTTCAACTCACCACGCTGATCCATATAGACCACTACCAAAGTACAAGGGGAAATGTGAGATTGATCCACAGACTAAGAGCGAATTCTGCAATGGAAAGATTATCGGAGCCCAACATTTTGCTGAAGCTGCCAAAGCTGCTGGTGTCTTCAATCCTGCTATCGATTTCGCATCACCCCTGGATGGTGATGGACATGGAAGGTTTGGATCCTGAATCCTCTAGCACTATGAAGTGCATTTATCAATTTTCTCTTTGGCCACAGATATAGCACTATTTTAATGCATGTTGCTGTGCGGTTGTTTGGTAGCTCTGTATTTTGGGTTCTCACAGTACATTTTTGTTCTTGTGTTTGAGTAACAGTCACATAGCAGCCATTGCAGCAGGAAACAATGGCATTCCCGTGAGAATGCACGGTCATGAGTTTGGAAAAGCAAGTGGGATGGCTCCTCGTGCTAGGTAAGGATAATGCTAATTTCAAGAAGAATTATCTCAGTTTTCTGTTATGTCCTTTCATTGGACTGGACTAAGTAATCTCATTTTGAACACTTAGAATCGCCGTGTACAAAGCTCTGTACCGGCTCTTTGGAGGGTTCATTGCTGATGTGGTGGCCGCAATTGATCAGGTTTGAATTTCTGTAACTACCAGTTCAATCATTTTATGGGCAACATAGTGATACGTTTTACTCTAACAGCAAAGTTTCCTTGAAAACAGGCTGTCTATGATGGAGTGGATATACTCAGCCTTTCTTTAGGTCCCAACAGTCCACCAGCAACAACCAAGACGACGTATCTAAATCCCTTTGATGCTACCCTATTGGCAGCTGTTAAAGCTGGTGTGTTTGTTGCTCAAGCGGCAGGAAATGGAGGTCCATTTCCGAAAACGCTGGTCTCGTATAGCCCTTGGATAACATCTGTAGCAGCTGCCATTGATGACAGGAGATACAAGAACCACCTTACTCTTGGAAATGGAAAAATCTTGCCTGGACTTGGTTTGTCACGTAAGTCCATGAATGAATCAAGTTCCCGTGCAATTATTGCTTATATATTATTATGTGCATATTTTCTCACCAACTTACACTATGCTTGTCAACAGCCTCGACGCGACTGAACCAGACATATCCTCTAGTTTTTGCCAATGATGTCTTGCTAGGCTCTTCAGTGTTGAAGTACAATCCTTCAGATTGCCAGAGACCCGAGTTGCTGAACAAGAAGTTGGTTGAAGGGAAAATCCTACTGTGTGGCTATTCCTTCAGCTTTGTTTCTGGCACAGCATCAATCAAAAAGGTCGCTGAGACTGCCAAGAAACTCGGGGCAGCTGGATTTGTTCTTGCTGTGGAAAACAGTACTCCAGGAGCAAAGTATGATCCCATTCCTGTTTGCACACCTGGGATTGTCATCACGGATGCAACCAAATCTGCGGTAAACCAACATAAAAGAAGTAATTTCCAAGTATTTTTTGAGTTACTTATGTTCTCTTACTCTCTTTGTCACTGTTACTCCAGGATCTAATTGATTACTACAACATATCTACACCAAGAGACTGGACTGGTAGAGTGAAGAGCTTCAATGCCATTGGAAGCATTGGAGATGGGTTGATGCCTATACTTCACAAATCGGCTCCCCAGGTTGCATTATTCTCTGCTCGAGGGCCCAACATCAAAGATTTCAGCTTTGGAGATGCTGATCTTCTGAAGCCAGACATCTTAGCTCCCGGGTCTCTTATTTGGGCAGCTTGGTCACCTAATGGAACAGATGAAGCAAATTTTATGGGTAGGTTGAAAGTTCACTCACCATTTTACTTTGGAAGGTGTTTGGTACGAGGAATTGTCCCCCCTGATTCTGGATTGTTTCTTACTATATACTTATTTCTTTTACCTGATCTTGGTATGAAAAATCCCTGTGGTTGGCAAATGTTAGTTGCTTTCGATATACCTACTCTTTGTTTGTTATTGCAGGAGAAGGGTTTGCAATGATGTCTGGAACTAGCATGGCTGCACCACATATAGCTGGGATAGCTGCGCTCGTAAAGCAGAAACACCCCGAGTGGAGCCCTGCTGCGATTAAGTCAGCCCTAATGACGACATCCACAGAGCTGGACCGAGCAGGAAGGCCTCTTCAAGCACAGCAGTACTCAGAAACAGAAGCCATGAAGCTTGGTCGTGCCACCCCTTTCGACTACGGAAGTGGTCATGTGAATCCAAGGGCTGCTCTCGATCCTGGGCTCGTCTTTGATGCAGGTTCTTCTGATCGAACACTATACTTCTGCATATAAATAAACCCTCTCTATGGCTATTTAACTAAAAATTCTGAGCTACTTACACTTCCCGGGGTTATTTTTTCTGTTTTCCTCAGGGTACACGGATTACTTGGGGTTCTTGTGCACGACGCCCGGGATCAATGCCCACGAGATACGAAACTTCACGAACATGCGCTGCAACTACACCATGGGCCACCCGTCGAACCTCAACTCGCCATCGATCACAGTGGCCCGCCTAGTGAAGACCTTCACCGTGACTCGCACAGTTACGAATGTAGCCGATGAGGAAGAGACCTACGTGATCACCGCGAGAATGGAGCCTGCGATCGCCATCGAGGTGAAGCCTTCGGCCATGACTCTGAGGCCTGGTGCATCGAGGAAGTTGACTGTAAGCTTAACTGTTCGATCGGTGTCTGGAGGGTACAGTTTTGGGAAGGTGACAATGAAGGGCAGCCGCGGCCATAGAGTGAGAATCCCAGTTGTAGCAATGGGATACTGGCGATAGAATAAAGGAAATGCGAATTTGGTTGGTTAGTGATCTATGAATCAGATTTCAGTGTTCTTAATCATGGTCTGGTTTGGTTGGGGGGTTGAGATGATATAATTCTTTTGTATGTTGTACCATCTGGTAATAATAGAGAATAAGAGTGAGTTAGTTAGGAAGATGTTTATATATCAAGTACCATATTATCATTTATTTTGCTATTACCAGTACTTATCTGAATTGCTATTTGTCGCCCTAAAATTTAAATTTTATCGCCCTAAATCACACTAAATTGACACATTTACCCCTAATCTCCATTTCTAACCTAAATCCTAAACAACCGCCTACACAGAGCCATGGAACTGCTTCCTCTTCGCCTCCGATTCCGAGGAAGTCGATCAAAACGCGGCGGGCGGTTCTTGTAGAATGAACGAACACGGAGGAGAGCATAATCAAGCAAGATGACCGGCGATGGCGACAGAGGGAGAAAGTGGTGAGAGCGACGGAGAAGCAACAGTTGCTATGCTGGTTTCGTGCAGAGAAGCTCGGAATGGTGTGCGTTTGTCTTCTTTCCTTGAAGGAAACATAAAATTGCTCAGCTGTGCATATCATTCTTCTTTTGCAGTTATGGGATTTGAGTTTTTTGTTTTTAATTTATTATGAAACAAGTATCAAAATAAATTTGCTCCCCGCCGATCCCACTACCCTCATCCGTCGCTTCTGCTCTCAGCCACCCACCAACAGGATTTCAGCTGCCGCTACTGCCACTCCCACAACCGTTGATACTCTGTTTCCGGCAGTCTGCATGTTGTTGAAGGTTTGTGTTTGTAAGAAAAAAAATAAACTAGGGACATTAGGGTAAATTGATTAAGCGTTAGGGCGACGAATAACATTTTTTAGGGCGACGAATAGCAATTCCCGTACTTATGCTGGGGGAGCTAGATGTAAACAAAACTGTCCACCTTTAAGTTTTGATAATTTGGTGCCAAATTCCAGGTATTGTACACTTTTGTGTTATGACTTAGGATAGTAGAATTGAAGTAATTAGATTTAACAGTAGAATTTCCACTTGAGTATCAAAATTTTAACCAGATTAGTATTTTAACAAATGTACAAGTTTGAATTCGGGATGTCATCGATTCGAGTATTTGCCGTCATTACTCTGATTGGGGTTCAGTTGCAGCGAGCCATGATCGTTCTTCTCGTAGCTGCAATTCCCATCTTTCATCTCAGGTTATGCCAAAGCAATCCTCCTCTACCTTGGCCAAGATCCAATGGATTGATCTAGAGATAACAGTAGACTTGAGAGAAATTAAAATCTATAACTGAAGGTACCAAAACATCGGAAAAATTTCAGGTACTTAATTGAAAATATATCATATTCCGCTCCAGAAACAATAAGGATAAAGCAACTCTATCTCTATAGCGAGGAGTGTTTCTCAGCTGACAGCTGCTTACTGAATCTAATCGCCGGTTTACCCTGCCACCATCAGCGGTTTCTGGTCATGTCGGACCAATGATTTCAAAAGTAACACAAACCCCAAACTATCATCTAATCCAAATGTGGGAGGAACACAGTAAGGCTTCTGCCTTGGTTCACTCACTAGGCCTTTTGCTTACCTTTCCTAAGTTTCTCTAGATCTGCCTCTGCGTCTTCCAATTTCTTCCTTAGAGTGGATACCCTTTCTTCCATCTCTTCCACTGTTAAATTTCCAGCTGAAGGTTGATGCGGTGTCAGAAATCGGTGTGAAAAGTTCTTCAGAGCTTCGACTCCAGTGACCTAACAAAATCAAGAAACAAGAGCAGTAAAGAAAGTAATACAGCAAGTGAACAGAGTTCATTCAAGTTTTATATGGTCAATGATTGCGAATTTGCGATGATTGAATACCTCCTCTGGCAACAATGGAAGCTTTGTGATGTGGAAGTCATCATATAGCATGTAAAACTGATCGAGGTACTTCTGCTGCATCCGCATTCTTGCTTTTAGCAATTTGGACTCAACGTCTACAGGATATAAAAAAGAAACCCCCGAGAAAATTAACGCCTAAGTTTGCAAATTTGCAGAATAGACACTAACAAGTAATGAGAGGTAAATGCAAAGTCGGGCACACCATCTTCATTGTAAAGCACTTGGTTGATGATAATGTTATGCGTGTCGATTTCAAACTTGGTAAGTTCCTGGACCAATCTCTCTGTTTCATAGAGAGAGAGGAACTCCGGAATGCAGACACACACAAATGTGGTCATGTCCTGCCAATTAAAAGTAAATAATTGCATCAACAAGAAAGAATCCTTAATTTGTCGGTAAAATTTTCAGATGCCAGATAGAATGCAGAAGTTTGGGTGAAAGGGAAAGAGCCATCAACAGCAGAATCCTAATCAGCGCACATTACCAGATTCATCAAAGAAATAATTAGTTATGTTCTACTATATCGAAACAATAACGGCTCACAGGAGAAACACAATTAAGAAGATAAACAGGTAAGGTCAATATGTAAATCTGCAACAAGTTTAGGCGTCAGAGAAGTAGATACTTCATCAGTTGCTAAGTCCTACCATGCATTAGCATCTCATAGTACCATCAGCAACACTGCACCTAAGCTATCATCCCTTAAACATGACATTTTCTACAAAATGGATACCTTTCCCTACACAAATACATGGTTGGCCAAAAATGGTTTTATGTTGCCACAAAGCTCCAGGATTAACCTGTTTCTGAAGTGGTGCTATCTAGAATGAAATATCAGCGATGCTTTGCTGTTTAAAGGTTAGTATCCTATTCTGGAACTAAGTTTCCTCTTCTAGCCCCTTGCACTCAAGACTAGTTGTCAGGCACACCCCTAAGGGGAAACAGTTCTTGACACACATCATAGAAGGAGAGCAATAGGTGCAAATGTATCAGGTTAAAGATTCATGATTCTATCAGCATCCTGCCTGCCTTGAAGTGCCTGACACTGCCTCCTTTTAATCAAATGGTGGTCCTAAGAACATTATAATTTCCACATAACACCAAGGTCCAACTACACAATAGAGGAATTCCAATCTCCGACTCCAACAACTTCTGTCATAAAAGAGACACTTGGCAATCAACCAACTAGAGTAGATAAGTGAGGTCTTACTGGGTCTTTGAACTGCCTGTTCACTTGTTCAATTACATCTTTCATGCCCTCGAGTCTCCCCAAAATTGCGTCTTCCCCGAAGTCACCATCAATACCAAACATACGAGTCACCTGCCAAACAATTGTTTTCATGAATTACTACATGAGAATATTAAACTACAAACAGAAAGAATAGCTGCAGCAGCAAAATACCATATATATTTTTAATCTTCCAAGAAAATGGCAGGCATGAATACTAATGAGAACAGATTAAAGTTCCATGAAGCAGTGCAATCAATGCAAGGTTGTGTCTGGGCATTTGCGAGAAAAGGAAAGTGCAGCTAAAAGCTGAAAGATTGGAAAAGAGAGGACATAAAGGAAGAATACAGAATAACACTCCATGAGGTATTGATAAAACTTCCCCAGGAACAGAGGGGTCACAACCAAGAATAACATAACTCGGGTACAAATTGCAAGAAGAAAACATCAACACTGGTTGAAGGACAGAAGATAGCATAGCTCAGGAAGGGGGAAATCATCCTGAACTAATAAAAGAACAGCCAGGAAAAGCGAAGGATCAAATACCAACAATCATATTGCTACCAGAAATAAAATATGTCAACACCTAAAGGTTATAGTATGCAAGATGCAGCAACACCTATAGAACCATATAATGAAGCGTCTCAACCAAACTAATTCACAACTGCATGCTTAGATAACATACTCGATGCTAAACAATGAGACAGAAATAGACTCTGCAGCGAGGTTCAATTTGGTTCCAAGAGCGTCGAGTATTCGCTAACATTCAAATATCTATTGCTATTATTATTCATCGGATATTATATAAGCCCTCAGCCATAAAGATGTTATTAGTCCCATCAAAGATATACCTGGGTCAACAATCCACCAAACCGATGTTTTAAGGACATCATTTTCTGAAGACCTTTCTCCAATGTCGAGGGAAATTGTAGTAGCCGGAGAGTATGACCAGTTGGGGCTGTATCAAACACAATAACACTATAATCCATTGTTTGAACCAACCTACAGAAAATCAATTAGTGAGGAATGCATTAGAATTAGGTAGGAAATAGTGCTCCACATGCCAAGATGCGGCATCATATTTTATTCGCAAGTAAAAGAGGAAGAGGATGCACACTCCAGTAAAGATCATATTGTTAATCAATTGAAGGTTGGGAGATGTGCAACAATGAGGTCTTACAGTAGGTGGCATGTACAGCTTATGCCCTATTTTCTCATAAATTACCATATAAAATGGACAAATCATTCAAAGAAAATACACACAAATTAGCTAAGAATGAGATTGCTGTCAACTAGCCGTGCGATACATCATCATCAAAGTAACAAATGACACAAGAACTTAACTCTCTGAAAACACCATAAGCAGTCATCACTCTTTTCAGATGAAAGATCAATCGCCATTCAAAGCTACAAAGCATCAGCTTTTTCTAATTTCTTCACTCATCGTTGCAATCAAACTCCAATGGGGAAGTGCAAGTAGTAGCAAACTTACTTCAACATTTCTGCAAAGCTCATGGCTTCATCAATACCAGGGATTGCGTTGGCTAGTTCAGAGAACAAGCTATCCATCTCCTCGTTGCCACCCACATCTTCATTCTCAACACTGGGATCCACCTCCTGTTATGACCCATAACCAAATAATAAGAACATTAGACTTATACTTGGAAAGAAGCCAGTAAAATCCACATACATGATATTAGAATTAGAGCGTTGGCCTCTCATCATTTCCCTCTCACGTCACCACATTCGCCAGAACCGTTCACTATAAAAAATTCAAATCAAACAAATTCGGGATCCATACTGCACAAATTCTGATTTCTTAATCAGCACCCGGATACCCTGTAGAGGGAAAAGAAAGGGGAAGTACCATAGCGTAGAGATTGGTGAAGCCATTGACCAACGAAGGTGACTTGGTGAAGCGCTGTTGGAAAGCATCGCTGAGATTGTGGGCCGGATCAGTGGATATGATCAAAACCGACGATCTGACGCTGGCCAGAAGAATGGAGATGATGGAGCTGCAAGTGGTCTTCCCGACTCCGCCTTTCCCTCCGACGAAAACCCACTTGAGAGTTTCTTGATCCAGTATGTTCCGTACTGTCCCTTCTGGTAATTCTTCATTATCTGCCATATCTCTTCTTCCCTCCTCTGCCGCGAAAGGAAAATGGCTCCGATTTCAAGCTTCAAAACACGTAATTCGCATCCACGAAAGTACAAAACCGAACTAGGTCACGAAGGGACTGGGCACGGAGGGAGTGACCGAGCGAATGATTGTAACACTCCGGCCCGATCAATGGATGAATCTTCGACCAGGAGAGAATGGAAAGAAAGGAACAAGATTGAGAATTGGGTTTTCTGTTATTCGATGGTAGTCTTTACAGCAACAATCCCATATAAATGGCAAAATACAGAATGATCCCTCGACTAATATTTTACAGCCGAAACCCAAAACTACTATTTTCTTATAATTAGATTTAGATCCCAGTAGTGAAGTCCCTACTTCAAAACAGATTTTGTTCTCAAGGGTGAAAACGAGCACCGGAAAACGTTAGGTACTTAATTGAAAATATATTATATTCCGGCAGAAAAACAGCTCTATATCTCTTTAGTCTGCGGAGGAGTTTCTCAGCTGGCCGCCGCCTACTGAATCTAATCTCAAAGCCAGTAGTCCAAGCGTTCCCCTTCCTTCCGCCGGTTTCTTCCGCAGCTGCCGGTTTTCCGGCCATGTCGGACAGAGATAGGTACGGCGACCGCGACCGAGTTCGTGACAGAGAACGGGAGAGGGACCGCGACCGAGATCGAGACCGAGACCGAGAAAGGCGACGGGAAAAGGAAGATCGAGATCGCATCCGGGACCGGGACCGAGATCGTGATCGAGTCCGCACGAGATCGTGGACACGATCGCCGGAACGAACGCGAGGGAGGCACGCTCGTTCCCGCACGCGCTCGCCGGACGATCGGCGTAACTCGCGCTCTCCAGATGCACGCGCCTCGCACCGGCGCCAGCGCCACCAGCGCACCCCGTCGCCTTCACCTCCGCGGAAGAGGCACCGTCATGAGGCCGACGAGGAGAAGGATAAGGACAGGCAGAGAGCAGCTGCCACAGCGGCTTCTGATTTTGTGGACGGGATTTCGAAGGAGCAGCAGCAGAAGCGAGCCGAAAAGCACAGCAACGGCGGGGGAGATGGAGTGGAGGTAGCAGGAGATGGAAATGGTGACGGGATGGCGAACGAGGATGAGGTTGAGATGATGAAGATGTTAGGGATTCCGATTGGTTTTGATTCGACGAAAGGGAAGCCGGTTCCCGGCGCCGACGTGAGTGGCATCAGGGCAGTGACCAAGCGGCAGCCCAGGCAGTACATGAACCGCAGGGGAGGGTTCAATCGGCCGTTGCCTGCAGAGCGTAACCGATAGCCTTAAAGCTCCTGGTTAGGGATTCAGATTCAAGCTTAATGTTTCCATTTCCAACTGTTTGTGAATCAGCAGGATGTTGTAGTTAACTAACTTCGATTTGCAATTTTGTATGCTGCATTTGAATCTTCATGCTCTGAATTAGTGATCGAATTCTCCAAGCTTAAAGGTTGTTAGTGATTGGAAGTGCTGGTAGGACGCTGAGCTTTTTGTTGGCGGTTGCCTGGCTGTTTATGGCTGATCATGATAGTGTGGTACTGTAGTTAGTGACTTATGCATCATTAGCATCTTAAAGCTGTGTAATTGTCATGGTTCCCGGCTGTGCCCTGTTTGCTGCATTGCTTCTACTGATCTGAACTAGCATTGTAGTGGGCTTTCGAGGCTGGTGGGTTTTGCAGTGAGCATTGACTGTTTCTGACTAATCATGATAGTGTGGTACTGTAGTTAGTGAGGTCTGCATTAGCGACTTAATGCTGTGAAATTATCAAGGTTTTCGGCTGTGTTTTCCGTTGAGACCTGCTTGCTGCATTGCTTTTACCGACCTGAACTAGCATTGTAGTTGCCTTTCGAGGCTTGTTGCTTTGCCGGTGAGCATTGACTGTATCTGGCTGATCATGATGGTGTGTGGTACTGTAGTTAGTGAGGTCTGCATTATCGCCTTAATGCTGTGAAATTATCATGGTTTTTCGGCTGTGTTTTCTGCTGAGCCCTGTTTGCAGCATTGTTTCTACTGATCTGATCTAGCATTGTAGTGGCCTTTCAAGGCTGGTTGCTTTTGCGATGAACATTGAACTTTCTGACTGATCATGATAGTGTGTGGTACTGTAGTTAGTGAGGTCAGCATTAGCGTCTTAATGCTGTGAAATTATCGTGGTTTCAGCTGTGTTTTGTGTTGAGCCGTGTTGCTGCATTGGTCTACTGATCTAAACTAGCATTAAAGGTTTGGCCTTTCAAGGCTGGTGGCTTCTGCAGTGAGCATTGACTGGTTCTGACTGATCTTGGCGGTGTAGTACTGGAGTTAGTGATGTCTGTATTAGCGTCTAATGCTGTGAAATTATGGCGGTTATCGGCTGTGCTCTGTGTTGAGCCCTGTTTGCTGCATTGTTTCTACTTATCTGAACTAGCTGTGTAGTCTTGGCCTTTTGAGGCTGGTGGCTTTTGCAGTGGGCATGGGATTCGTAGTAGTGCAAATGGAACATGTATACCTTGGCCGGGCAGCGAGTCTTGTCATGGCAATTAGGGGTTCGCCATCCGTCCCTCTCCTCTTTGCTTTGCACATTTTGCAGTGATATGTTCATGAGCGTTACATACAACTACACTTAAAGTGTGATTCGGCTTAGTGATTGCTTGGATGGCCTCCGTCGGAAGGGTGTTTTGAACGGGAATAGAATGAATGATCTCTTCCTCATATTTGGCAGATTGTTCAATCAAGTCGATTAGTGTTTATGAAAATGGTTAGGCTGATGCTATGTCATCGAAATCATGCGCGATGGTTAGATGTTTTATTGCCTAATTTGTGTTTGTTTACTTGGGTTGGTGTTCGTTGTTGGTATATTAGATCATATCTCAGATGCGATGGATTGTATTATTGCTATGAAATCCATCAAACTTGTACAACAAACATATATGGCCTTGAAGTTTGTTAAAGATGTGAAGATCGGTGCTCGAAACTCTTGAAGGATTTGTTATGTACCTTTACAAAGCCATGGATGACAATGAAATATAATCCATATAGTCGATCTTTTCTTGGCGTTAGATTGATGTCAGTCATGCAATTAAGTTGATTTAGATTGTCACAATCTACACATTAACTTGCATCACAAGAGAGCTTTCAACTTTCAAGTCATATGAAAAAAAAGGATTTACGGTGGGGTTCTATATGGTTCTACTTCTATATAAAAACTCGAAATGTAGGTTTATGACAATACTGATAACTAGAAGTTATGATTTTGATTTTGATGATTTGATTCGTGTTGAAATGTTTTCATCGTTTAAATATATAACAATGGACAATAAAATTCATATATCTACGAGAAAATCATTTTTGTTTGCATGGATTTTAAGTTGATCTAGCACTTGGTTGCTTAAGAAGTTCCAACCACTACAAGGAGAAATATCAAATAAGTAGAACTGAATGGATTAGTTGTAATTCCTATATCATATTAATCTAATATCAAGAACTAAAAGCGTAGAATTTTATGAATACTGTCTAATACTCTATTTATAACAAAGTGTATTGGATACAAGATTGAGTTTTTAAAAAATAACCCAAATTTTTAGCAAGAAAAACAAACCCTTTATATTTCGACATTTCGTTTATCTCAATGAGGTTTTTGTTTTTTTCCCCTTATAATTATGTCTCTGTTATGCTATGTTATTCGGAGGTGAAAGAGAGGAAGGAAATTAATGGTGGCGGAGGAAGAATTATCCATCTGACAACGAAAAAAAAATCAGGAAAAGAAAAACGAGGGAAGAATATCAATGTCAGCAGGCAAAAAGAAAGTCTGGTCCGATACTACCCCACTCCTCCACCGCCGAAACTCTCCTCCTCCGCCTTCCTACCATTCTTCTTCCTCTTTCCCTTTCACCGTCGAGATGACTTCCTCCTCCTCCCCCCGCCGCGTCGGCTCCCTCTTCCTCGGTATCGACGTCGGAACCTCCAGCGCCCGCGCCGGTAAAAGACTTGAATTGGGAACAAAATCAAACCATTCCTTGATCGGAGAACTGATCCCCTGCTTGTGCTCTGTTTTCCCCCCTTCCTTTTGCAGGAGTGTTTGACGATAAGGGGAAGCTCCTGGGGACGGCGAGCAGCCCGATACAGATTTGGAAAGAAGGCGACATCGTTGAGGTAAAATGTGGATTCGAGAGAAAGATGGATTTTTTATTTTATTTTTGCCCAATCGAATTGCTTGCTTGATGAATGGAGTCTTTTTCGATATCAGCAATCGTCGACGGACATATGGCATGCTGTCTGTGCTTCTGTGAAGTCGGCTTGCTCCCTTGCTAATGTTGCTGGCCATGAAGTGACCGGGATTGGATTTGCTGCTACATGTTCCCTTGGTTGGATTTCTTGTTTGAAAAGCTTGGTTATTCAGTTCAGACTGTTGAGTTGCTGAAAGCTGGCTTTAACTGGAGGATACGTTTGGTTGTTTTTAGTTGCCGTTGATTCTGATGGTGCCCCGGTTACTGTTTCGTGGAGTGGCGATTCGAGGAGGAATGTGATTGTGTGGATGGACCACAGGGCTGTTAAGCAAGCTGAAAAGATCAATTCTTTTAACTCGCCCGTGTTGCAATACTGTGGTGGAGCTGTTTCTCCTGAAATGCAGCCACCAAAGGTAACTCGTTCTTAGGAAATTTGTAATCCATATGTCGACTATAGTTGTAATATCGTCATAAACAAGTTGAAAAGATCTCACATTTAAACTTAGGAGTTGGCTGTGGTTTTAGTTCTGAAGTAATTGCATGGGATGAGCATAAAATATTTGGCAATTTGCTCTAGATTAAATTTGGCAAAGGGTATACTTGCAGCTGCTATGGGTGAAGGAAAACTTGCCAGAGTCATGGTCAATGGTGTTCAGGTGGATGGACTTGAGTGATTGGTTGTCATACAGGTACACATTCACCCCCTTAGGTCGTTGGCAGCTCAAGTGTTCTTTAGATGAGGTTGTTTCCTAAGCTGCCTTTCTTTTTCTAGAGCCACTGGAGATGATACTAGAAGTCTGTGCACAACGGTCTGCAAATGGACATATCTTGGTCATGCACACATGCAGCAGATGAAGGAGAAGAATTTGCGCGACATGGAAGCATGTGGATGGGATGATGATTTCTGGGAAGAGATTGGCTTGGGTGACCTTTTGGAGGGTCATCATGCTAAGATAGGTAAGCTTGCTTCTCTTATTCCTTTTAATTTGTCTTACTAGTACGGGGAAGTTTTTCTAGTGTGTGAACCCGTTAATAGATGGAATAATAAGTTCCGACTCATCTGCATGCTCTATGATCTAAATACTGTCTCCCTAAATGGGCGCATCATGTCAGTTTTTATACATCGTTTGGATAAGTAATGAATCCCTTTAGTGATTTCAACAATACAAAGAATAATGCTAACCTTCGTGCTATAGTTAATTTGACATGGGAAAATTTTGCACAGGACGCAGTGTTGCTCTTCCAGGTCATTCTTTGGGTTCTGGTCTTACCACTGCAGCTGCGCAGGCAAGAATTTTGTACTGAAGAATTGACACATTCATTTCAAGTCACACTTCCCTGAGGTCTATTGCCACAGCAAACACATTGTTTTAGTTAGATGAACTCAAGCAGATCCGTTTCCTTCGGCAAATGGAGGATTCTTGATTCAACCTACTCCCCATTTATCTAGTACTTGGTTCATTTAACAAAATCATATATCCCTATGTTTTCAGGAAATGGGTCTTAGAGCAGGAATTCCAGTTGGAACTTCATTGATTGATGCTCATGCTGGAGGCGTAGGGATCATGGAAAGTGTTCCCGAGTCAGATTCTGAAGCTAAAGGTAGACTTCAGTTGAAAGTATAAAAAAACAATGAAAGACTACCATCTCTTCTTTGTCATATTCAAGCACTTTCATGCATCATGTTTTCAAGCCTTGCCCGAATGGGTTCATCTTTTGCTAGAGTCGGAAAAGGAAGCTGTTAGCAGTCGCATGGCATTAGTCTGTGGTACTTCTACCTGTCATATGGCCGTATCGGAAAGCAAACTGTTCATTCCTGGAGTTTGGGGCCCATTTTGGTCAGGTAAAAGAATTCCATATCGAGGAACAGGCTTTTAGGTTTTATCTATAGCCTATAGGTAAGAGTGGCACTTGCCATTACTAGCTCTCCCAACTTCTGTTAGCTCACTAGATATCAACTTTATTCCAATGTTCGTAGCAATGCTGCCTGAGTATTGGCTTACAGAAGGTGGACAGAGTGCTACTGGTGCATTATTGGATTACATAATTGAAAACCACATGGCTTCTCCTCCTCTTGCAGAGCGAGCTGCATCTCAAAGTAAGATAGTGATCTTTGCTCACACATTCCGACTATTATCGTTTCTTCAACCAGTTACAAGCGACATACCTCATGCTGAACCTATATTTACTTTCTCCTTTCCAGAAACTTCTATCTTTGCATTGTTAAACAGTATTTTGAAGACAATGATGCAGGAGCGGAAGTCTCCATTTGTTGCTGCTTTGACTGAAAGCACACATGTTCTCCCGGACTTTCACGGAAATAGGTAGATAATAGATATAATAATAACAAAAGCTTTTCTAGGTGGCAGTGCCGATATATTATTGACTAAACTTGTTGTAATCTGTGATGGTGCAGATCTCCTATTGCAGACCCTAAATCGAAGGGTATTATGTGCGGCTTGACTCTTGACACAAGTGAGGGACAGTTAGCTCTGTTGTACCTTGCCACTATACAGGGGGTTGCTTATGGTACTAGGCATATTGTGGAGCACTGCAATGCTCATGGCCACAAAGTAAATGCATCTCCAAGTCTTTATTTGTTTGCTGACTGTCAACAGTTCATCAATGTTATACTTTTCCCCCTCTAATGTGAAGTTCCCTGTTTTTGCTCACAGATCAACACATTGCTTGCTTGTGGTGGTCTCTCCAAGAACCCTCTGTACGTCCAAGAACATGCAGATATTATGGGTAACTATCTTCTTTACTGAATGCAAGGTGGAAGTAGTTATAGGCCTTTTATTGACAACATGATAAGCTTATGTCTCATTGACGATGCAGGTTGTCCGGTTATACTGCCTCGTGAAAGTGAGTCTGTACTCTTAGGAGCAGCAATTCTTGGTGCAGTTGCTGCGAAGAAATATCCCACTCTTATGGAAGCCATGAAGGCACTGAATGCCGCTGGTCAGGTAGGTTGTAGGCGTACCATTCTTATCTTCCTACTTTTTTTTTTCTTCCTTTGATGCCATGTGAGGGTGTGCTCATATGGGTATTGGTTCTGCTTGGTTTAAGATTTTTGGCTGAATTGGTTCAATTCTTCACTGTTCATAATCAAACTGATCATTCAACCAAGACTGCATATGATCTGTTTGTTGTCAGATTCTAATAGGCTCAAGGCCATCGTAATATTTGATTATGAAGTCTCTATTGGCTTAATGATATCAACTAGTCAGAAACTAAAAATTCTTCTTCCGTTATAGTTGATTCTGGTTTTATAGTATTTTGATCGATTTTGTCGACTGAATGTATTCCACGGTTAATTGGTTTGGTTGGATTTCCAGGTTGTCCGTCCATCTCAAGACCCGAAGGTGAAGAAGTATCATGATGCCAAGTACAAAATTTTCCGGGAGCTTTACGAGCAGCAGCTATCTCAACGTTCAGCCATGGCTAAAGCCTTGGATTAGAGTCATGGGATGTGCCCCAAATCCACTTCTGCTGGTGTACAGTTCAAGTAATTTTTTTGTCTACATTTTTTGCTCTGCTTTTACACACGAGGGGAGCTTGTTCACAGCTATAGTTTTTGAAGGATTATTTGTAAAGCTTCAAACTTTGACCCTCTGAACAAATTATGGGTGGGAATAAAGTAAAACAATTGAACAATCTAAACGAGCTACTTGCAAATATTTGTCATACTTGGTGTTTCTTCACCGTAACAGATGATCTTTCCTCAATTGTAATGTAACTAGTAAATCTATGGATGGGCATTTTCTGTCTAATACGAACCATGACAGGAACCCCTTGAGATTGAGAATGAAAGAAAAAGATGAACATAATGAAACAAAAGCACACCCAGTTCTGTATGGTTTGTTTCAATGAAGGAAACAACTTACGTGAACGATTCGATTCTACCGTGTCTTGATTGACAATCAAGAATGATTAAACAGAACCGGAATGAATACTTCAGTATCCACTTTGATCCAGAGTGGAACAAATCATCTACCCTTTACCCAGCAGTTAAGCCTCACTTGGAAAGAACCAACTTTGAGGTTTCTCATGCTCAAATCATCTAACTACAATATGGAATATGGGAAGGTCATAACTTATAAGACGATGGCATTGGAAAGCATTAAATACAGTGGCAAGATGGTGCTCGAACAGCAAAAGCTACAAGGGACAAACGAAAGACGAAGAACTTGACCAACAAGTAAAGAAAGCATTTTCTCAGTTCTGGAGGGAATGATAGGAGGCGTTCTTCACATGTATAGTCCTTCTGGCACCCCTTCTTTCTTCTTGAACATAACCTTCTCCTTCGCTTTCTTGAAGTCGACATGGGTTACCTGAATTCAGAGTAAAAGAAAGATCAGAGAACTGAGTTTCATTGCTTATGAAACCTAAAAAAACACAAAGGAAGAACTAAGCGAGAGAATTATGAATCAGAATTTGATTCATACGTTACCTTCATACGCCGCTCTCTTAAAGCAAGCAAACCAGCCTCAGTGCAGATTGCTTTGATGTCAGCTCCTGAAAATTCATCCTTGGTCATCACAAACTCCTCCAAGTTAACATCATCTGCTAATGTCATCCTCGATGTATGGATCTGCATGGATAATCAAAACACGAGCGAAAGAATTGGTAACCGAGAGACACATGGTGTATACTACAGACAAGGATTAGGTTGCTCATGTTCATCAAAATCTACCTGGAAGATGCGCCTCCTAGTTTTGATGTCGGGAAGAGGGAATTCAATCTTCCTGTCTATACGCCCTGGACGCAACAGAGCAGGATCGAGACTCTCGATTCTATTGGTTGCAAGAATCACTTTCACATCTCCCCTCGAATCAAAACCATCCAGCTGGTTCAGCAGTTCTAACATAGTCCTCTGGATCTCGCGCTCACCACCAGAATTTGCATCATACCTTAAAGAAACCACATTTTTTTCATCAGTTACCTTCAAAAGCACAACCTGTCAGGCTCACCAATGGAAATGCATCAACAACATACTACCTCTTTGTGCCAACTGCATCAATTTCATCGATGAAGACAATTGAAGGCGAAAGGTCATCAGCAACTCTAAACAACTCCCTAACTAGTTTTGGACCGTCACCTAGATACTTCTGAATCAGTTCACTTCCTACCACGCGTAAGAAAGTCGCCGATGTAGAATTTGCAACAGCCTGAAGTAGAAGGACAACATCAAAGAAGGTTATTGTCATGGACTTGAGATAGTTCGCCATAGTAACTAGACCACATTTCAAACGTATTAAGTATTTCGCTTAGGTATAATTACCTTAGCAAGCAGTGTCTTCCCTGTTCCTGGCTCCCCATAGAGAATGACTCCTTTAGGGGGCCTAATCCCGATGTCTTCATATAGTTCAGGATGTGTAAGAGGAAGCTCCACTGCTTCCTTAATCTCCTGTATTTGAGCATCCAACCCACCAATGTCGGCATATGATTCGAGTGGAGCTTTCTCGACTTTCATTACTGAAACCATGGGATCAACCTCATCTTGCAGAAGGCCAACAACAGAAAGGACCTAGCAAGGTATAAACGAATGCAATGTTGTCCCAGGTATCAGAACTAAGCTCGTAATCATATAGCCATAGAATTCATAAAAGCTTTGAACTTCAATATCCCATTAACAAAAAACATGGGACGATGAACATTCCGGCTCTAGACTACCTATGCATATCTACAACAAGCTTGCAATTCCAGCTCAAAACACCGAATTCCGAATCCTAAGTTCATAAAAGAAATTTCACTCCTTTCAGTTCATTATCGGGAGAAACAGCTCAAATTACCTTATTGTGCATCAGAATCGAGCAGCCGGGCTCAAGCTGGTCCTTATCGACAAAGGAGAGAATTCCAACGTAGTACTCGGGACCAACGGAGGAAGAAACAATGGCGTGATTCTCATCAATCAGCTCCTCGAGATTCCCGACGCTCATCGGCGACCCTCTGAGATCGTCGACCTTAGATCGATCCTCCTCATTCTTCTCCTCCTGAGGCTTCAACCTCTCCTGATTCGCGACGAATTCCTCCTCCATCAACAAGTAATCCTTGATTCGCTCCATCTTAAGCAACCTCAGTTTGCACTTAGACAAAGGCGTCACCGTCGGCAGCCGCGCCGCCGCCTCGGGACCCTTCTGCTTCCTCTGCTTCCGCCCGACTCGGGAAGGCGGGGCGGCGGGCTCGTACTTCTTCTCCTTCTTGTTGTCGCCATCTCCCTTCCTATCGCCCGGCGGGCGGTTCATACCTGATGGACCCTGACCCATGTTGACGCCCTCGATAAGCTAGATTCGTCAATGCGGCGGAGGCACGGTGATTGAAATCGGAAATCTATCTATCGGAAAATCGGAGAAATTGCTCTAGGGATTGTTCTGATGAAAACTGGAAGCTCAGACCTTTGTATAGATATCTTTATTTCCCTTCGCATCTCAAATATTATTGGAACATACAGTTTTAGCCCCGTACTTCTTCCATCTTTCGTAAAGGGACTTGTATTATCAATTTTGTTCAAACTCAGGCACGGACTTGGAGATACAGCCCTTTTCTTTTGGGCTCGTTTCTTTACAATTGGGCTCACTGGCTAATTGTTTGACTGGGCTAGATATACTCACATTCATCCATTTTTTAATTACTTTTTTGTCCTTTGCGACCATTTCGTGATTTTGACAACGACGTCACCATCGCCATCCTCAAAGACCAAAATCTTTCACTGTACCCACTCGCACTTCACGTGACATTTCACTTGTCCCTTGCAGCGCGTAGGGAATTTAGCGAGTGTGGCATGGCCTTAGGTTGGCCGGAAGCCACGCGGCATTGAACTATTGGTCGGTGGGAGACGCATTTTCAGAATTCGAGACGCGCATATTACCACGCGCTTATGCTATGCCTTCCTGCCAAATGTTGAAGCTCGTGCTGAAAGATGCTGTGGGCATATCCATCTCTGCTCCTTGAATATAATGATAAATACTAAATAGAAATAAATTAACTTTTCATAAACGAAAAAGGGAAACCATAATTATTCGCAGAACCGAGAGGCTGCCACGTGTGACGCTACGCTGGCAACCATCCATCGCATTTCTCCTTCCTTCCTCCACCATTCTCTTCCATCGTCCCTCCCTTCTGTGCTCTCCTTTCCCCCCAAAATCCCATTCCTTCTTCGTCGTCGTCTTCTTCACCAATGTCGAATTTCCATTGACGCGATTATCACGAAAAAAAGAAACGAAAAAGATTCATTGAGAGAATTTTCCGGCTCTGCCCAGGTACCATCGGCGCTTTTTCTTGATTTTCAGAATTCTTCGATTGAGGGTTTCCGTAAAGGGAAGGGATTGATTGCGTTTTGATTCGGGGGAATCCGTGTTGAATATTAATCGGGAGGCGGTGGCGGCGGTGGGTGAGGGTGAAGAGCTGCCACCTCTGGTGGGGAGCGCCATGATTGGGGTCGGCGGATTTGATGATTTTAAGGGACTTCCTTTGTGTTAGGTGTGGTTTTCGCTTTGTGGGTGCATTGAAATCGGAAGCTTTTTCCAGTGAGTGAACACTTCCCACCTCCCGCTCTCCATGTGTAACCAAGGGATTGAATCCCTGAACCAGAACCATAAAACTAGCAACCAGAATTCGATGGATACTCCAACTTCAGCCACTAATTCCACCCCAGGTTCAAACTTTTGCCCCAATGACGAAACCCCACGAGTAAAATTCCTGTGTAGCTTCTTAGGCAGCATAATGCCTCGCCCGCAAGATGGGAAACTGCGGTATGTGGGCGGGGAGACCCGGATTGTGAGCTTGCCTAGGGAGATTGGGTATGAGGAGCTTATGAGCAAGATGAGGGAGCTTTACGAAGGTGCAGCGCTGTTGAAGTATCAGCAGCCGGATGAAGATCTCGATGCACTGGTCTCGGTTGTGAATGATGATGATGTCACCAATATGATGGAGGAGTACGAGAAGTTGGGGTCTGGGGATGGGTTCACTAGGCTTAGAATTTTCCTCTTCTCGCACTCTGAGCAAGAAGGGTCCCCCCATTTTGTTGATGGGGATGATAGAGAGACCGAGAGGAGGTATGTGGATGCGTTGAACAATTTAAATGATGTGGCGGATTTTCATAGGCAGCAGCAGGTCGATTCCCCTATGATTGATGAGCATTTCTTCAACCAGATGAGTCTTGATGGTGGGATTCATGGACAGAGGAATCCTGATGTGTCTTTGCCACAGTACCATCTTCGACATGTTGCTGTTCCTCAAAGGTACAGTGAAATGGAAGGTCCATGGAGCCCAGCTTATTATTCTCCCAGGCATCATGGGCATCATGATCATCCAAGATCAATGTCTGATTTTCCGAGTTCGCCCCCATCAGCTCGATATCGGATGCCATTTGGGGATATGCCTGATAAAAGCATGGATAGGGTGCCTGAAGAGTATGCTCGTCTGCAGATGAACCATCAGGTACCTTATACCGAGAATGTGGCATGGATGCATGATAAAGCTGGTTTCCCAGGCAATTTGATGCATGGTCAAGGCGTTATGGAAGGGAATAGTAGTGCCTGTGAGCATTGTCATACTCCTTTTCAGAGGAGTCAGTTACATTTGGAGCAGGCTAACATGGGAAATGGTATTCCCCATGGTGTTAATTCGTGTAGCGAGTGTTCTCCACCAAATAGAGAAGCTTTCTTAGTACATGGAGATCCAAACATGCACCACACTGTATACCCAAACGACCATTATCTCTCTGGAGCTGGTAGGTTCAATGATCAACATTATATTGTAGAAGGTCCAGGCAGGAACTACTCACTTGGTCATGGGGCTTTAGGTGACAGCCATCATGTTTCTTCCAGTTATGCCCCACATCGAGCTGGTCCTGACATGGGGAATGAAGCATTTCATGATCCATCGGTAGCTCCTGCACATCACCAGCACGTGCCACCAGTCGACGATCGTAGCATCAGATATGGGAATTTTCCTGGTGCTTATGGAACTGAAACAGTTTATCAGATGCCTCATGGACATGGTCATGGACAGAGTTTGTGGAGAAATGCTCAAAACCCTATGCTTGGAGGTCCTTACGAAGCAGCCACTGGAGCCCCGCAAGTTAATGGTACATTAAATCCTGCTTATATTAGAGGCACAGTAGAGGGTGGTCCAAGGGTTGTAGCTATTGGCATTGAAGCTCAGCATGCTTGGTCTGACTCCTCACAGACCAGGTTGGGTTTTGATGCCATGGCTGTCCCGGAGTATGCTTATCCCCCTGCTTTGAACACTAATCCAGCTAGTTATGGGGTGGACGCTAGGCAGTCGATTGCTCCCGAATCTACTTGTCATCCACTTCCATTTCCACTTGAAATAGCAAATTCACTTGCTCCAATAGCCACTGTTAGTCACATTCCTGTTGGACTCAGCAACACTGTTGTGGTCCCTGACATGGCAAAAGTGGAAGAGACAAACATTGGTGGCACAGAAATAGATGCGAGTTATGCAGGGAAACTGAATATGGTTAATTTAGTTCATGTTGTCAAGCCGAATCAGGAGGTGGCTCTGGTGGATTTGTCAGACCCAAATAACTTGCGGAGTCATGCCGACAGCAATTTCATGCCAATGGGTGAAAATAAGTCTTCTGTTGGGGACTCTAAGCTATCTGTGAACCACTTAAGTTACTTACCTGAGTTAATTGCTTCTGCAAAGAAAGCTGCATTGGAGGAGGCTGAGGAAGTGAAAGCGAGAGTTGAAGAAAATGTTTCTCATTTGAAGGATACTGTGGCATCAAAAGAAGCAACTGTCAAGGAGCCTGAAGCAGTGGTGAGAAGCAGCAGACTTCATTTCCACTGGAAATGCTTTTGTACTTTAAGCTTTCACTTTAATGGTTGCCTTTTCACAGAATGGCGTTGAAGAAGTAGAGTTGGATTCGGATAATCCAAACCTCAACAAGATTGAGCCCACAAAGGCTGAGGCCGAAGCTATCGAGAGGGGATTACAGGTTTGTGGAACTTCTGTTTCCATAAAATTGTAACTGCTTCTTTCACGGAGATATGCTGTTGTTAAGATGTTTTTTTTTCTTCAGTTTTCTTCTGCTACAGTCCATTTGTAATGTTTGCAAATTATAGCTTCTTTTTTATGCCCAGACTATAAGAAACGACGACCTGGAGGAGATCCGTGAATTGGGTTCTGGAACTTATGGAGCTGTTTATCATGGGAAATGGAAGGGTTCTGATGTGGCTATAAAAAGAATAAAGGCTAGTTGTTTTGCTGGAAGACCTTCTGAAAGAGAGCGACTGGTACATTATACTTTCAATTCTCAACGTTGTACAGTTATATGTCAGCATTTTGCTCCATTTAACTAGTCTGTTAACATATTGCAACCTGTTCACATTTTTGTTTTAATTGATTTGACCTTCTGTCTCAATCATTCTAACTGGAGATACAACTACTTCTATAGATTGCAGATTTCTGGAAGGAAGCATTAATATTGAGTTCACTACATCATCCCAATGTTGTCTCTTTCTATGGTATAGTTCGTGATGGCCCTGACGGATCCTTAGCAACTGTAACAGAGTTCATGATCAATGGTTCTTTGAAGCAGTTTTTACAAAAGAAGGACAGGTAACCTTGCAACTGTTGGTTCAACAATTTTGTGTTGCATGGATAATGGATGAAAATGATCAGACATTATGTTTTTTTTACTTGAAGAGTAGTTAACATCCCAATCTCACTGCAGAACCATTGACCGGCGGAAGAGACTCATCATAGCAATGGATGCCGCATTTGGCATGGAGTATCTGCACGGGAAGAATATTGTTCATTTTGATTTGAAGTGTGAAAACCTGTTAGTAAATATGAGAGATCCACAGCGGCCCATCTGCAAGGTATGCTTAGAGCCTTAGACCAATCTTTTTGAGGATTCACTCAGTCCATTTCCTCAGCTAATGTTCTTTCGTGAAATATACCAAAGCTTCTAAAAGGATATCTATTCAGTAGTGTTCAATTTGCTTCAGTTTTATGGTTTGGCTCTGTTTTCCAGACTTGAGTTAATCTCAAGTCAACAGCTTTGAAGCTAACTGAATATGGTTTTCTCTTAGATTGGCGATTTGGGCTTATCGAAGGTCAAACAGCAAACACTTGTGTCGGGTGGTGTTCGTGGAACTCTACCTTGGATGGCCCCTGAGCTTCTGAGTGGGAAGACCCATATGGTGACTGAGAAGGTAGCTATAAGTCTATAACCTCTGATAGATGGTAGTTGTACCTTTTTCTCTGCCTCATTTGGGTTCTCTACATCTCCTGGGCCGCAGATTGATGTTTATTCCTTTGGGATTGTGATGTGGGAGTTGCTGACCGGAGAAGAACCTTATACGGATTTGCATTGTGCCTCAATAATAGGTATGCTTAGATCCATTATGGTATTAATTTACGTAGCATCAGCACATACTTTAGTTGCTCTCCATACAAGTTAGTTGACTTCAGATTTCCGGGTTGTTTGGAAGAGCTGCCCTTGAAACTTGGAAAAATAAAAGATCCCTGATCAATGCAGAATTTGCAGTCAAGATTAGTAAAGCTAAATTGCAAATCTTAGTGTTACAAGTTGTTCATCAGTTCATTTCAATGACTTGCAGGAGGTATTGTGAACAACACTTTACGTCCCAAGATCCCAACCTGGTGTGATCCAGAATGGAAATCTTTGATGGAAAGTTGCTGGGCTTCTGACCCTTCAGAAAGGCCATCATTTTCTGAAATTTCTCGAAAGCTGAGGACCATGGCTGCTGCAATCAACGTGAAATAATGATCGGGTTGTGAAGTAGATCTTTCTCACTTCTTGACTGGCTGATTATAGCCATAGAAAAAAGTTGGCCCTTTAGTCTTCAAATAGTGATAAAGCAGAAGAAAAGAAGAAGAAGAAGAAAAAAACTTTAGATTTATGATATTGTTATTATGCCTTGATAGTATCTGCAGGCTTATGGGATAGAGACCCAGTCCCTTTCAGAGAACATGCCCCCGTATTCTCTAAATATGGAGAGGGTTAATGATGCACAATCAGAATGTGAGTTTCTTCCGAGTATGCTTCTAATTCGCTTTTTCTTTAGAAACGGCTCAGAAAGTAATCTCCTTTATCTTCCTTCTGCAGGTTTTTTTTGCTATTTTGAATGTGATCATATAAATGGTAGTGAAATATAATCTATCTCTGCTACTATTTGGAATGAAGGGGGAGGATATGTATATATATATATCTATCTATATATGATGATGATGATGAAGCTCTGGTGTTTCTTTAGCCTCCTCCAAGAGCTTTCTCCATTCTTGGAGGACGAAGACGACGATGCATAGCACTCTATTCGCACTTCAGCATGAGCTTCTCAGATGGGATCTTGGCCGGCCAAATAGCTAGCTGTATTAGAAAGTATGCTATATTGGCATTCCTCATGTTCCCTTCTTTTGGGTGGATTTTTTTTCTGCACACTGCTGAGGGACGTTTTCCCACATATAAAATGAACTGCACAAATTTTGAGCTCAATGTGTTCTTTATTATTGTTACTATTGCTTGCTGTGATGGAGCACTGTCTATTTATGGTGCAATGAAGCTCATGCAGAAGTCGAGGCCCGAAAAATTTTCACTCTGTTGCTTCTGTAAGAAAGATTGTAGCTTTTCTTCTTATTTTACCTCTTTGATTCTGCATATGAACTATTAGAGTACATGTTAAATGAACAATTTCATGTCTCTTATGATACAGCTTGTCACTTGATTGCTTCATGAAGCCAGACACTGTGCCTGAGGGCACAACATGTGTATGTTCTGTATGTGTATATCGTCGATAATCTGTACCTTCTGTCGCGTTTGGAGCACAGAGTGATGCAAGTGGGAGTGTGCTTTCTCGATCGACAGTGACCTGTTGACATTTGTTTCTCAACCTCTACTGTTGTCATGGTACAGGTGACGATTGAGAAATCTGAAGTCAATGCAGTGTTTAACTTACCAACTCCCTCTACTGTGGCATTGAAAGGTCAGCGGAGGGTTTATATTATGTGAATCTTTTTTTGGTCAATAAGTGTGACATCATTGTTTTGGCTTGGTACCTTTCCCTTTTATGTTGATAGGAGCCGAGGGAGTACCGTAGAACCACTCCAATATGGAGCTAGGTATAGGATGATCCCAACAAAATGGTCTGTTCAATCACGCAAACCCGATTACTTAGAGGACAAAGGTCAAAGAATATAGTATTGAGTATTTGGTGAAGAAGTTTATCATCAAGATAATGGTATGGAATAAGGTTATATGGTCAATTGCACTCACATTATTGAGAGCTTGGTTCGTACAAATACGAGAACGAGTTGATTATCATCACAGTATCGTCTCGTTACAAGATGATACTTAGGTTACCATTTTAGGGGAGAGAGAGAATGGAGTGACCATTTTGTAACAAATGTTGTGGTTAAGTGGCCATCTTGGTTAGTTGAATAAGGTGATCGAAGGCAAGTCAATTTCTTGTATTGTATCCTTGGGTTGATAGTATGTGGGAAGATGGAATAGAAACATGAAGTGTGGACTATGGCATTTGACAAATGGTGGCAACTCATTGGAAATGGCTGGCTTTTCATTCTCTGAGCTCAGCAACTGCGTCGGTTTGTTGCATATTGAGTTTACAATAACAAAATGGAACTACAGTTTTGGGGTTACATGCCAACATCACCACTAGACTTGAGGGTTGTTACAAACTGGTCACTAAATTGATTCTCCTAACAAGGGAAGAATCTACGTCGGTCGGGACGATTACTCGATTTAATGTAGGATGACACGGGCTTAAATTGCCCACATCTTACATCTTACTTTTGACGACCCTCAAATATATAATTCGGTTCCAATTTGATCCCGTCTCTATGTGTTTTAGGTTTATAGGAGGTTTCAGTTGGATGTTGAACTAGGACGTGGAGTCAACAAAATTAGTCGCACATTTCTTCTGAGGGCAGTGAGACAGAGTTAGATTTTTGTACATGTTTTTAAGAAGATCAATTTCAATGGCGGATTCATAACAATCCCTATGTTAGTGACCATTGTTGACATTTGGTCACCCAAGATGAGGATATTTTTTTTTTTATGAGAAGATGAGGATATTGGTACATAATATAATGGTATACATCCTAAAGTAAAATATCCATAAAATTTCCATGCAGGTAACATATTATATTGTAGGGGGTACGCACAACTCACAAGTCCACTAGCATGTGTCTTTGTCAACCTTTGTGACGATAGATGGGGGATGAGTTAGGGTGGCAACTAAAATTTTAGTAGCCACCATGGCTACATCACTATCTGTCGTTCATTTTTCTTGTTTTCCTCTTTTTTTAATCTCATGGTTAATTTTGTTTTAGGGTAATTTTGGAATAAAAAAAGAGTCCACACCTGATTATTCTATATATGCTACTCAAACCCTAATCTACCATCCCTCCATACCAACCCTAGACGACGGCATCACCCCTCCACCCACCGCCGCCCACCTCCACCCGCCCTCATCCCCTCCCCCCACCTCCGCCCACCTCCCTCCGCCCACCCTCCCCTCCCCCCACCTCCGCCCACCCTCCCCTCTCTTCCACTCTCTCCCCCCACCATCCGCCCCCCCCCCCCACCTCCGCCCGCCATTCAAGCCAAAGAGCACATTCCCGGCCTTTCCCCTGACCAGCAGCGCCTGATCTTCGCCGGGAAGGAGCTGGGAGACGGGAGGAATCCAACTCTGCCGCCGCGCCTCGGTCCCAGTCCTATTCACTCGCCATAACCACAAATCCCCCGAAGACTACGGCATGCTTGAGGAGTGGTGGGACGGGGATCTGATCATCGATGGCACGTCGGAATCCGAGCTAATTCCCCCAATTGCGGAGCTGGCAGCAGAGGAAGGCGGCGGCGAGGTCACCATCGAGAAGAGCTGGTATGTTTTTTTTTAAATGGTAGTCATTTTTTTTAAATGGTAGTCATTTTTTTCGTAGTGGTAGTGTTATTGTCGTATTGGTATAGTTTTTGTTACATTGGTATTATTTTTGTCGCATTGGTATTGATTTTGTCGCATTGGTATTGATTTTGTTACATTGGTATTGATTTTGTCGCATTGGTAGTGATTAAATCTGCAATGGTATTGATGTTTTGTGAAATGGTAGTGTTTTTATTTCTTGAATGGTAGTTTTCGTGTAATGGTATAAATTTATTTCTGCAATGGTAGTTTTCGTGTAATGGTATAGATTTATTTCTGCAATGGTATTGATATTTTTCAAAGTGGTAGTGTTTGTCTAATGGATTGGTACTGATTTGGTTTTTTTTTTTTTTTTGCAGAAAGATTGAGAAAAATATGGAAAGGAAATCTGGCTGGAGATTACGGAAGTGAGAGAAAGAGAGATTTTTAATTAATAGATTTTTGTAACTACCTTAAATTTAATTTATTAAAAAATTAATTAATATAATTTATTTTTCCATACCCAATTTACCCTTAGTAACCACGGTCACCGTAACCTGTCCCCGATAGATGGGTGTCCATTTTTCTTAGTCCCTATATTTTAATTTAATTTCTCCCCACCAAAGCACAATGTAACGCGGTTATTAGGTACCTAGATTGTTAGTTGAGACTTGAGTACTATCGTGTTCAATATGTTAAGGGTAAGAGAATAGTGATCGATAATTAACCTTCTTCAAACAACTACATGCTTAAGAGAGCGATAATTTATGATTAGTCTTCTTTACAGCAACTTGAGTTATTTGAATCAAACGGATTATTATATGGTATCAGAGCTTGTATGGTACGAGCATATAGTCGTTTGTTCTAATTCGCACGATCTTCAATATTAACAGTTGATTGAAGCACAATGTATAACGAATTTGTACAAATTAACTTCAATCACATGGGTTAACTTTCGTTTGAGTAATTACGCAACAATTAACTATCTTTTCATTTTAAATGTGTGATTTCCGGTTGAAAATCAACAATAGTATCGCTAAATCCAAATCGTCATTTGACATGGTGATATGTATGAATGCTAGACATGTAGGAGTAGGAGTATCAATCATGGAATGTTTATATGATTATTATATATTGCAATCTCTCTCCCTATCTCTTCAATTAAGCAACTAGGGAAGATTATTGAGAGATCCCAAAAGCTTATCTTCTAAAACCAGCTCAGGACCACCTTTACCAGCCCTCACTAACAAAGCAAACACAAAAGTCTTTCCAAAAACAACAATTTATACAATTCATCAATCTACATATAAAATACATAACAATTAATATTAGACACAAGGAGTTTGGTCTTATAAATTGATGATGAAACTAATGGCAATGTCAAGTACGTAGCTACCCAAAAAAAAAAAAAACTCATCAAAGAGAGATTCTAAGCTTGAGATAAAAGACAAGCAGAAGCATGTTTTGATTTTTCCCATTCAATTAATTAAATTAAAGCATAACCCTATCTCAGTCTTTCCCTCAATTTAATTAATTTGTTTGGTGGTGATTTCAGATATAATAATATAATAATATTTGGGTTCTGCTTTTTTCCTTGAATTTTTTTGGTAGGTTTCTGTTTGTTAACTTCTATGTGGGTTCAGGTTCTTCTTGATCAACTTGGCTCTTAATTCAAAGTAGGGCTAGCTAGCTCATCAAATTATTATTAAGTTAATATAAAACCTTATTAGGTCAATGAATAGAGATGATACTTTTTGAACAAGAAATATCTTTGCATTGTTTATATTGTCTAAACTTCTTTTAACTTCTTTTTGCTACTACCCTTCATCTTTTCTCGATTATTAAATAACTATATCTGTCAATGGATTATCTGGAAGATGCACATGTTAAATCATTGTATTGTAATGAATCATCGTAATATAAATGCATGTATTGATACAATAGATGCCTTTTTTATAGAACTGTCAATGACGACTTCCTTGTGATTGAAATTAATTAAGAATACTCCTTTTATGGATGTCCTAGCTAGTTAAAAATGTTTTTATTGTTTTCAACTTATCTATTTAATTAGATAAACTCATAGTCTAGCTAGAAGTATATCATTTGTCTATGATTAAGCTCACATATTGAGTAGCAATGTGTCATACCATACCCTTTTGTTCTTGTCAAGGATCTTCAATTCCTATATTAGTTCCAGGAAGCTCTCCTAACTCGAATCATTAGGATAAACAGATTTTCGACATATTATTAGAATTGTTGTTTGAGGAGTCTCTGAATTCATATTCTAATAACTCTTATTATTAATTGTTGATTTACATAAATCAACTGTGCAAACTTCAAACTAGTATTTTTGGTTGACAAGATATGTGAGAGAATAGTGTAACATTCAATCTTCTGGCTGGGGTTAGCTCTTAGTCAAAGAACATTTTGCTTAAATGGCGCCAATGACAAGGGACCGTTTTTTCTAGACCCCGCAAACCCTGCAGAAGGGTACGTATTTGTCTGCATGTGTGGTTGTTCTCAAACAATAAACAAGTTGGGGGAAAATAATAAAGGCATAAAGCTCTCCACAATATTAAAATGACAAATAACTAGGAAGAAAATTTCTGTTCTACTTTGTCCAGCTCTATGCATACACAAATAAAATAATTCATTATGGCCCAATGATATAATAATTCAGATAAGAGAGAAGGGGCAGACACCATTTCTTCAAACCCTAGAGTAATATTAAACCCTAATTAAGTTTAATTTGTTGCAACCACTCGGGTTGATAGGAGTGGTCAAAACGATCGAAGTTTGGTTGATACGTAGAGTTTGAAAATATACATACTCATTGTACCTTGTATTCAGTTTAACCTTTGACGTTGTGGGTACACCGGATTCGTCAACAATAACTCAAATTGTTGTAAGATGTAAAGAAGTAATTAAATACCATACACCGACCTCTTTCAACAACTCGAGTTATTGTGACCAGTTGGTTTAAGACATGGTATCAGAGCTGATTTGTCATTGAGGTCGCATGTTGAAGTCCTCACGACCCACAATATTAACCGTTGAACGAAAGTCAACTCATGAGCTTTAAATCTGCACAGGCTCACTTTACCATGTTGAAGTCCTCACGACCCTCAATATGAACCGTTGTCTTAAGCACAGGTTATAGCGAGCTTGTGCAAACTTCAAACTCATGAGTTGGCTTTCGTTTAAGGGAGTGCGTAAAAAAAAAAGTGGTTAAGTACCATATATGGATCTCTCCCAACAACTCGAGTTATTGACACCAGTTGATTTATGATATAAGAGAGGTAGTACTACATATGCCCTTTATGAAAACATATGCACGACTTATGTTTAGACCATGTTGATAACTTTTTCATCTCGATAACTCGAGTTGTCGAAATGGATACAAGCTAGAACGAGTCACATATCACACCTCTTGGAAAAAACACACTTTCAGATAACCCTAGAGGAAGTAAGTAGAGAGAGAGAGAGAGGGTTGAACTTTGTTGGCTTGAGGAGAAGACTTTTTTCCCCTCCTGGCCTTGCCCCTATAAATCTCGAGTCATCCCTTTCCCAACATTTCTCCTTCATCATCACAAACAAGATCAAACGAAACAAAGAAACAAAAGTCCCATCAATCGAGCCCCCACCAGAATCCATTGTTCCTTCGCTGCTGAAGAAGAAGAAGAAAGAAAGAAAACATGGGGAGAGCTCCATGCTGTGACAAGGCAAATGTGAAGAAAGGGCCATGGTCGGCTGAAGAAGATGCCAAGCTCAAAGATTACATCGAGCAACATGGCACCGGCGGCAACTGGATTGCACTCCCTCAAAAGATTGGTACTTATACATATACTCTTTTCTACAACTCCTTCTGACCGTCGAATCCAGGATGTGGTGGATGTTCTTGATCCGTCTCCGTGTTTAGTTTTTTATTTTATTTATTAATGGGGTGTTTGAATGATTTTGGTAGGGATGAAGAGATGTGGGAAGAGTTGCAGGCTGAGGTGGCTGAATTACCTGAGGCCAAACCTCAAGCATGGTGGATTCTCTGAGGAAGAAGACAACATCATCTGCAGCCTCTACATCAGTATTGGAAGCAGGTAACAGAAAGAAAAAAAAAAAGGAATCAAAGTATATGTTACTGACACAACTAACATGGCTATGTAGTTGTGATAAGATCAGAGAGCTCTAGCTAGCTTTTTTTCTGAGGGTTTTTGGGCCATGATTTGCTTGTCTTGTTTCATTTGTTTCTGATGCTTATTGTCTGGGTTTCATTCTATGTATGTATACTCAAATTTTCACATGCATCTACAAATGAAAAGGGGTATGAACTGATTATTTGTATGCTCCACTGTGTCTCTTCACTTCTGTGTCATGTGTTACGAACTAATTAATTGCACAATATTGTCTAAATATGATTTCAATATCGGATTAATATTCTACATATGTAAAAAAAAATTGCATAATTAGTTATATCGTGATTTTTACTTCATTTTATGATGCATAGTATACACACGCCATTCCTAAACCCTCTTGCTTATTAGATTATCTTCACATGGTTACTTACAACTTGAACATCCATTTCGATGCATATATCCTGGTTTTACGACATATAAAAAAAATTATTTCATGTCAATAACTCGGATCATTCTTTGTTGTTCTATTAGGTGGTCGATCATCGCAGCTCAACTTCCTGGAAGAACAGACAACGACATAAAAAACTACTGGAACACAAGGCTGAAGAAGAAGCTTCTAGGCAGAAGGAAGCAACAACAACAACTCCACCACCAACAATCCCCTGAGGGCTCTCCAGCCACCTCTGTGGAACATGACCATCAAAATCATCATCAAAGCCCATCATCTCATGGCTTGAGCAATTCAGCACTGGAGAGGCTGCAGCTCCACATGAAGCTCCAAACCCTAAACCAGAACCCATTGCTCCACACCATGCTCTGGCCAAAGCTCCACCCTTTCCAGGAGAAATTACTCCTCCAAGCCATGAATGATGAGAACAACAATAACCAAAGCATGCAATTGCCTCTCTTGCCACAGCCAGAAATGATGGAATCCCCACCAAGCAATACTATTATTGCCAAGCCATTGGAGGATGAAATGATGATGATGATGATGAACCATAGTAGCAATTACAACACCAGTACTACTTCTAATGAGACCATTACCACGACGACTACTACTAACGAAATCAATGTCGACCCTAGCCCTTTCCAATTAGGTGGCGGTGACGATTTCATCATGGGGAATTTGGACAACAGTGGTAGCAGCCTGGTGTGGTGGTCGAATGAGTTTGAGACTAGTAATGGTGTGAATTATGATAGATCTGGATCGTTTTCATCCTCCTCTAATGATTCCAGCTGGGAGTATTGTGCTGTTCGATCTTCTGATGGTGCCGGTTTATTCTGAATATCGATTGAGATCCAGGAAATGGTACAATAGAGAAGTTGTGATATGTTGTATTGTTCTTGTGATGGTTCATAAGAAATGGTGAGAGAGAGAGAGAGAGAGAGTTGGAAAAGCTAGTAGCAATACCTTCTTTTCTTGTGGGTTGTAAGCAAGTGTGTGAATGATGATAATAATAGTAGTGATGGGTACATATTTGTGCATGTTGATTTCCATGGTTATATATGACTCCTAGCTAGTGCTATATATTTCACTTTGGACCTTGAACCTATGCTAGTTTTGATCCCTAGTTAATTGATGGGTAGTTTGGATTTTTTACTCCTTAGTTTGATCCATAACTTAGCAAAAGTATTTTATAAGTCATAAATTGAGTTTTTTTTTTAACAAAAGGTAATCATATATTGATTGAGCAAAATATCAAACAAATTACACTCTGGTATGAAGCCGGATCATAAAATTAAAGGAACGACTTACAATCGGGTATAAAAAAAGGTCTTTCTAGCCATCAAATAAGTCACCCTTTGCTATTCCGACCTAAATTGAATTGAATATCTCACTTTACTCAATAATTGGAGTGCTTTTAAAGCAATATTTTCTTTCACATTGACGAAAGGGTTTCTAGTTTTTGCAGAAAATTGATCAAATTAGAACACCGTCTTGCCATTATTTTATTTATTGGTTGCTCAGAACTAGCTATTATAAATTCCCTTATAATAATTAGATTGGGTTAATGGATTTTATTTGTTTTTTATTCAATTTTCTTAACGAAGTGAAAAATTGGCAAAATATTTGACAGAATTTTAGATGAGATGAAAGAACCGTAATCATGTCCATTTTGTTACTATAGCTCTAATCAGTTTTATTCGATGGTCCATGGCATTGAGCCTGGAAGAATGTTAAGTTACAACAAGCTTATAAAGAAAAAAAATATGAAACCACCGCAGCATTCCTTAAACAGGGAGAGTACATCAAGCCAAGACATCACGATGAGGTTTCTCCACCTTCAGGACAATGACAGATTATGATGTTTAACGCCGGTAAGTGTTGTTGTATTGGTTGTACTGGTTGTACTCGGGTTCAGAAGGCATTTGGCTCGAGAGCAAGGGCTTCCCTTCCATCCTCCTCCCTTCTGGCTCTTTTAGGAAACTCTTGTCTTGAATGTACGACTCGATCTCCGTGATTATAGGCCTTAGGTCAGGATCATTGCGAGTTTTCAGCGCGTTCAGGAAGTGACTCGAGACCATGTGCAGCAGCTTCGCAAACTGGGACTTGTACTTCCTATACAGAACAAACCCAGCTGTCTGCAACAAGAATGACATAAAGTTGGATGATTTCTTGTATGACTGGGTAACAAGTGTAGAAAATTGAGAAATCAGAATCCAGACTTACTTGGAGGAATGCATTCAGTGCTACTGCGGTGAATGAATTGGCTGGGAGAGCGTTTAGAAATCTGGCGAGCCACGACCAGCCTGCTGCTGGGCCGTGAGGGTTCTCGATACCACGGACTGTTTCAGTCTGATGTGATCAAGTAGTGGTTTTAGATGATGAGAGTGAGATAACTGACAGAGAAGATGACTGGAAATGTAGATGACCAAACCATACCTGAACCAGAGCTCCGTACAATCTCATGTAAGCTTCCATGCGTTTTAAGTAATCTTTGACACTCTCGAGTTGCCCGCCATCTTCCTTAAACCCAAGCTGTTCTTTGTAATAAGCCTCTTTAGAGCTGAACGCAGCCTGAAGTGCACAGAAACCAGACTTAGAATGATTGAGAAGAATCTTGTTCACAAAATTGACTGCAAAATTGGTTACCTTTGAGTATGCTATATGCTTCGGGACAGTGTATATACAAGCTTTATGGAACTCGGCCAATATCAGATCCATTGCATATGGGACCTGTTATGAAAACAATTTAACACATGTAGAGCCAGAAATGTTGATCTTCAGCGCATGTAACTAATGAAATTGATCTTCGAAGCAAATGTCTTGCTTAAGCAATATGTAGACCAGAAATGTTGACAAGCCTTATATAAGGTATAAATAATATGGGAAACTAGGCCCAATACCTTCTTTCCACTCCATATTGCAGGGTACCTTGGGGCTTGTCAATTATATACTACCCGAATACCGCATACAAAATGAGGTACCATAGAACTCACAACAGAGAAATAGAACACCATAACGACATCAGAGGTCATGCATGGAATTCAAGAAGCAGAAAGAATACCACATAAAGATGCTGTACCTGTGAAGTGATGAGAACTATTACTTGAGCAGATGCAAAAGCGGCATTGTCAGGGTTTTCACAATGTTCAACAGCCTGTATATCAAGAAAATTTACATCAGAATTTAAAGTGTTTCCATATAACATTTTCTTCCTGTTCTAGCAATCAATAACATATAACCTTCTCACTAAACAGTCAAGATTACCTTCTTCGCAAATGCTGCAATGGTGATGGACTCTGGGCATGCAGGATTCTTGAAGATCTTTAGAAGTTCACTTGCTTTTGTTCTGGGCATATGAAAATAACATTGTCAGTTAATGAAACAGGAAGAAAATGTTATACTTTCAAGAAAATTAAGATCATCGGACAGTTTGCTAAGAAGCTGGTGCCTTGAACATACTTGTAGAAGTAACCAAATAGTTCATTCAGCAAGAAGTAGAATCTCATTGCTAACATAACAGAAACGTTCCAGAAAAGGAGGAAGAAAAATCACTTTCCAGAACTTCTCTCCTTTAAAAGACGCAAAGAAGAGGTCTAAGACAAGCATCTTACCTTACGTTTTCTTCTATCCCCCTTATCTGTCTTATCAGTCTACCAATTGGCCGGGTATGCTGGCCAAGGTTCTAAACAGAATGAAACAGGAAACAAGTCATACAGACTGCTTGAGATAATATCCAATGGCAGCAAAGGAACAAAGTGAAACTCAGAATCCAAAGGACGGGCAAGTCTGACTCCTAATGACCCAACTCTATTTGGACATTGAGGCAACATAATCAACAGCATACCATATTGGACATTGACATGAGAGACTGATTTTGGTCTTCAAGCTCTCTAAGCTTCTGCAGCCTTCCCTGTTCCAGAGAAAGAGCTGAAGCAGAAGCTCTCACAATATCACCTGCCACAAACTAGTGAGTCAGAATTCCAAACCTCCAATCAGAGCACAGCATCAGCTGAAAATACACTGAAGAACCGGCTCAAACACTAGGTCGAGAAGTGAAGCACTCAATAATGCTCCAAAGAGTAAAGAAGACTATCTGGAGAAACTAAAGTGGTCTCTGTGGCAGAAGGAAGTCAATAACTAAGCTGACTCAACATACTGAATGCAGAAGTCTTTGAATTAAAAGCATAACCAGTAGAAATGTACTCTAGGATAGAGAACCTGCAGACTGTGATGCTTTTGTGGTATTGGATTTTGATGCCTGGGACTGTGAATCCTGATTTGGAGGTGTATTAACTGCAGTGGCATTAGTCTGCTCAGATGAGACAACAGTTTTCAAAGCTTCCCTTTTAGCTGCTTCCTCTTTTGCTTTCTTCTCTGCTTCTAGTGCAGCTATTCTAGCTTCCTCAGCTCTACGTTTAGCCTGCATTCAAACCGTGAACCATGGTTATTTTCCTGCTAGCTAGTACATTGTCCTTTTAACCGCTAGGATAATAAAACCTCCTGAAACCAGGATTCTAATTACATATTCGGAGAAATATACCTCACAACGAAAATAATTAGCCATGAAGGGCGCATTCATGCACGAAATAAATGGAGAGTAGGCACTTGCTATCACTATATGACCAAGAGTTTATTAACAACAAATAGCAATAAACCAATAAATTTGAAAGGAACTTAACATACCTCGGCTTCTTCTCTGGCTCTTTCTTGACGTAGTCTCTCTTCTTGAACAGCCTTTTCCTTTCTCTTTGCCTCTTCTGCATCAATCCTTATTCTTCTTTCTTCCATCTGGGACTTGATTTCATGATCCCGCTGGATAGCAGTCAAGTGATCATCTAGTGCTTCTGCACTACATAGTAAACATATTAGCAGCTCATTTATCATGATACAATTTTTTTCTGGATTCCAGAAAAGATTTAAGATATCCACATCCAAGAAGCTAAAAGTTGTTTACATGTTACGCTGGTACAAGGTGTCGAGCTTCCGGTCTGTTTCCCTTCTCGCTTCACTATACTTGTCTATACGAGCAAATGCTGAAGCATCCTTTTGATTTTTGCTTATTAAATCCAACTCCAATGTCGATAGTTGGCTTCTAATCCCCTCCTATATTAAATTAAATTAAGTTACTTTCCAATAAAATGAAATAGTAAGATCTATGCCAATCATACATAATGAGCAGGAAGAAAATGACTTATCATCCACACACCTTTACTTCAAGTTGATGTTCATGAATCCGCTCAAACAACGCAGCTTCTACCAACCCAACTTCATCCATTAGATAGGGTTGAACATCAAGAGCACCAAACTCCTGATCAGATTCATCATTCTCTCTGAGACATATCGACAGACACATAGGCAACAAAATGAGTGATTCTGATACATATAGCATAGAACCTTAACTCAACTACTAAAATCTGTCAAGTGCAAACCTTTATCATAACCCAGTTCATAGACTCACTCAACCTGTCAACCAGTAAACAAGCACATTACCTTGCATCAACATCATCTAAATTGAACCGTTTCGCCACTACTAAAGCTCGACTATCATCCTCCTCGCCATCAGAAACTTCCAGCTCCTCCTCAGATATTCTCATGGAGAATGCCACTGAAAGCCTCTCCACAGTTTTCCCATTTGGATATCCCCTGTGGGGAAAAACAACAAAAACCGCCCATTCAAAGTTCACGACCAAAACCAATCCCCAAATGGCAGAAAACAAGCTTCAGACTATCAATTTTGAACATGTGGAAAGAGGATCGAGTACCGAGATTGATTTTTAGTAAAGGGTACCGGGAAATTGGCCGACGAACTAAGCTTCTTCTCGAGCGAATCAAGCTCCGACAACAGAGACTCGAAGCTCCAGTTGGGCTCGGGTTCGACCGCAATCCCTTGAACTCTCTGCGGACAACGAAGCTCCAACTTCACATGTCCCCTGAAACATAACGTTGAAGTCACAAACTTTGACCGACGGAATCAAATCAGTACAACAGACTGTCGCCGGCGAGAAAGAAAAATGTGCATACATGACCCTGGTGTCGCTTCGGCGGATTGCTTGGATGGAGAAGAGAGGAAATTGGGCGGTTGGCTATGAAAGTAGAGAACTTTTGAATTGGGAATTTCGATTTCCTCTTCTTCCTCTCCTCTTGGCTAATTCTCGCTCTCTCTCTCCCGCCCGCTTTTCTTTTACGCTGTGGGTTTGGGCCGCGGGCCCGGGAGAGTTCCGTTAGGGGTTTCCGTCTCCCGTTGACCCATTCGTATAGGTGAAATCCTTAAGTTAGTTACGAGTAACGGTAGACTGTCACCGGCGAGTTAGACAAGCAATTGATTCCGGCGTAGCTACGACGGAATTGCTAGAACGGTTTCGAAATAGAATGACTGAACGAGATAAAGAATGGGCGTTTGTTTTTTTTATTCATTTATAATATTGGAGTTTCAAGGATAATTATTATTCAATAATATTGGATAAATACAAGGATCTAACTCTAATTAGGAAATAACAATCCACACAAGAGAACTGTCGCACTATAAATAATATCGTCTATCAATTAACTATTTTTTTTTTATAGAATATCATAAATCACACACTTCACTCAACTATTTCTTTTTTCGTCTTTCAGTGACATCTTCTATTATTTTAACTAGATCTAAGATTAGTTCTCGTTCATTCACTGACATCCAATATAATGGAAATGATACAAAGAAAAAATGAGTTCTCATAATCATAGTTGTGAGGAACTATGCTTGAGAAACCATTGCTATTGCGACTCCTATCCAAAGAACCAAATCATAAAAACTATAACAAACTATGTCTCTCCATATAAATACACACTATCTTTCCCCCACACAAATATAAGAGCTAGCTATCTAGACTAACCTAAAAATTTCTGTGGCAAGAGAAAGAAGAAATTATCAATGACTCGAAATCCACCAACTTGCGGATTGTGTTGTTGCCTTGTATATTATCCATTCGTGAATTTTAATTTCCTTCTTCTTTCCTTTTCAAGGTTCTTCAATAACAACAGGGTGCTCGTCATCTTGGACGATATTCTTATAAACTCTGTCATTGGCTTTCTTTGCCTAAAAAAAGAAGAAAAAAACAACGAATAATTTAAATTAAGAGCGAATAATCTAAAAGATTAAATTGATAGTGAAACAAAAGTGAAAAAATCAGGGCAAAATCCATAACTACAAAACCGAAAAATGATATATATATATATATATATATATACACTTATATGATAGCAAGACACGAAATTTTGTACAGTTTACACATTTGAGTTTCATACCATTCATTCATCCATATATATAATTAAGCAGAATCCAATTTGGCTCACCTCTTTCTCCCAATTAGTTCTGACTGTCAATATACCCATCAACATTGCTTGGGAAAACACTGCCACAGTGAGCCCTATCCAAAGACCCTGACCAAAAAAAAAATTACACCATTCATGTATCAAATTCACTGTTCACTAACAAGCATATGCAACACAGTAATACTGTTCATACCTTCCCTCCCTTATGGTAGACAAAAGCCAGGACAATGGAGCATGGAACTCCCAGCAGATAGTAAGCACCAAGATTCACAAAAGCACCCAGCTTCTGCCTTCCACATCCCCTCCAAGTCCCAGAAAACACAGACTGAACGGCATCGAACAAGTGGAAACCTGCCGTCAGCAACAGTATCTCTCCCACGTATCTCACCACTCTATTTTCCTTGCTGTACAGGTGACCCCAAACATTCCGGCCGGCGACCAACACGATCCCGACCGAGATCGCTTCCACCGTCACCATGGCGAACGCGACGCAGACGGCGAGGCGAGCTGCCCTCGGCCTCCCGTTCCCGAGCTCGTTCGACACCCTCGTGCTGAAAATATATATCACAATTAAACAACGTTACGATATCGTCGTTAGTTATCTCATTTGCGTCAAGAATCAGTTCGTCTCAACTACATAACTATATTCAGTCCGTCGTAACTCTATGGAAGCAAAAATATCAAACACGTGTGTTACATTTCTAGGTTGCCAAACGAGTCATTTCGAGAGTTCGTTTGCGTGGACCAAATTGTAAAACGTTAAAAATTTGATCAGTTGTCTCATTTTACAGTACAAGTCATTTAAAACTAGTTAATTTGAATTACCACATGGCCCCATCCCAGATAATTGTAATTGTCTCTAGAAAGAGTCAATTCAAAATTCCTCATGTCAACTTGTTCCGTCCAAATTCTAGGTTGCCAAACGGGTCATTTCGATCCAATCGTCTCAAAATGAAACAATTAATCAGATCAAATGAATTCGTTAGAATCCCTTTTCCAACCTACATATAACCGATAATTTGATTACCATATTAGCACTCAAAATCATTTTCTAATAACTGGCGAGTTATAATTAGTAGATTATGTCCAAATGAAAAACAAAATTCACCTCACTGCAGCTCCAATCCCAAGCGGTAGCATGTAAATCATAGCAGATATGTTGAAGCTGTAACCAAAAAAAAAAAAAACGTCAAACCAACTTAGAATCAACGTTTAAAAAATCCTATTGTACCGACCAGTCCTATCCAAAATATCATGTACCAGACTCAAAATCCGCAGATGGTTTTACTTTTACCCATAAAGACGTGATTGAAACCACAATATTTATTCGTTCCGCGACTTCATACGACGAGGACATCCAATATTTAAACCGTGTTTCAATCATTAATTTCATATTCAATAAAAAATTAATCGTCTACACGCTTGAATTTTAACAGACGAGAGAGACCTTGATTACCTGATGGAGAGAACGGAGGTCTCGAGCTTGGGATCGGGAAGCAACCCGCCGAGCAGAACCATCATCTCAAACGACCAAACCTCCAAGCTCAGCATCACAGCCGACGGAACCGCCAGCCTCACAAACCCAGGAATCCCACTCCACGCCTCCTTCGACCAACCCCTCCACGTCCTCTTACACGAATCCGCCACCCTCACGTACACGAACAGCGACACCGCATCCACCCAATACGACACCGCATTTGCCAGCGCGGCCCCTCGGTACCCGAGCCCGGACTTGAACACCAGCGCCCAGCAGAGCAACACGTGGAGCAGCGTGGTGGCTCCGGTCGTGACCATGAGGGGGACCACGTTGTTTTGGGACTGCAGGAAGCGGACGTGGGACTCGAGGACGGCGAACCCGAAGATGGTCGGGATGATGAATTTCGCGTACCGCCCGGCCTCGGCGGAGATTTCTGGGTCCTGGCGGAGGAGGAGGAGGATGTCGCCGGCGAAGAAGGAGAGGAGGGAGAGCGGGACGGCGGCGAGGAGGAGGACGATCATGGCGCGCTGGAGGTGGATGCCGAGGGCGTGGTACTGCTTGGCGCCGTAGGATTGCCCGCATAGCGTCTCCAGTGCACTCGCCATTCCTCTCTTAATCAGAAAAGGAGAAATGAATTAGTAACGGACAAAAAGATTATCATTGTTGGTGTTCATAAGAATGTCGAAATTAATTTGAATTGTGGAAATTAGGGAGATTTTACTTATTAATTTGTTTCCTAAATGTGTTACAAATTTTATATGTGATTTCACGTATATTTCAAAATTATTCTACAGTAACACCATAGTTTTACCATAAAAATACTTTATCGTTGTTCAATAAGACCTCTAGTACGATTTCACAAACCCGAAATTTCATTATTCGATTGACCCAAGCTGATTGTGAACAAGCAATTTCATTCGCATTTCGACTAAAACGTCACCGTCACCGTCACCGTCAAGCATTTCGACTAACAAGCAATTTCATATTACGAAAGTAGCATTTTCGTTTTTTGTTCTTCACTTCGGTGGTTACATGTCAATATCATCACCGTCACCGTAACCGAAGAAGGAAAAGAAAAAGATACCCAGCGGCGAAAAACGTTAAGAGAGAGAGACGGGCGGAGGGAGGCTAGCTAATTTACGTACCAAGAGAGTCAAGCTGGTGACGGAAGCGAAAGAAGTGGCGAGGGAAGCGCCGGCGAGGGGCAACTCGCCGAGGTGGCCGACGAACATCACGGAGATCACTTGTAACAGATACGTCAGGAAATTGAACGACACGAGTGGGCCCGCTAGCCCCGCCTGCTTCTTCATCTCCCCGACGATCTCGCGCCTGCTGAACCGCCGATTTCCATTATTGCCGCCGCCGTCGTCATCCGGTACTGCCACGGCGATTTCTTCTTCTGCTCCTCCTTCTTCACAACCGGCGGCGGCGATCCCATTGATATTAGTGCTGGCATCGTGATCTGCAGCTGGTTCTGAGATGGTTTCTTCATCGTTGGCCATTAGAGGAGGAAGCTAAGGAGTGTAGTTAGGTGGAGATTGTGATTAGTCGGATCTCTTTCCCCCTTTGTACGGGAGATTTGGTTATCTATCTTTTTGCTATTATTGTTTATGGTTGGTAAGTAAATAAAAAAAAAAAAAACCCTGAATGGCAAAAGTACGTAGCAATCTTGATTCTGTTACTCGGTCGATATTTCTTCTTTGTTTTTTTTTTTCCTGATGAACCGAGATATATATCTCTTCCCTTGTAGAGTTTGTATCGAATTTGGAGAGTGGAGACTCTATGTCTTTTTTTTTTTTTAATCAAAACCAGTGGGATTGCTTGTAACACCCCGAATTACATTTATCTTTGCGTTTCCCAAATTACCCTTCCCAATCGTAATTGCACTACAGATGCAACCACCCACAAGGGTGGTTTTCACTCTCGTGACCGCCATTATTAGTGTGACAGCAAGGTAGACAAGAAAATATATATATTATTTCCCAAGCTCTTCTCTCTTGATATTGACATGAATGTACAAACCACCCTCCACATCTCCCTCTCGGTTCCAATCTCCTCACAAAGAAAACCAAGCATCACCGCTCCCAATTGAATTTCCTTTACTAGTCACAATTAAGCCCAACCACCCACCCTTTTCTCTTCTCACCACCACAGTCCCAATGGTAAGAACAAACAGCCATTGACATCAGTGCGATCGAGATGCAACCGCAACTCCGCAAGATCCACGACCAGCACACAAGTATTTCAGGACGGCGAATCCAAGCGATGGAGCCGGCAATTCCGGCTACCAAGATGACATGAAGAGGAGTTTGGTGGGTAAGATTGGCTATAGACGTGCACGATTTAAAGATTCAATCACCATAGTTAACTAATGGACATCATTCTTGCATCGTAGCTTTGTCGGTCAAGGTGCGAGGTGATCGAAGGACGATCTAAGCAAGGAATAGATTCCCTAGTGACTCTGATATAGCTCTAGGCACGAGGAAGCTCGATCCATCGCGTTAAAATCGGCAATTATGGGAGTAATACGGGTTTGTATAAATCTGGAAATTGGCGACTGTATTTCAGGCTTTAGTAGCTTAGTTTGGCCCTGCTGTAGCTTTTGCAGAAGCAGCTTCTGGCTGTAGCTTTTAGATAAGTACTTTTCAAAAAAAGCAGTTTAGTGTTTGGCTGTAAAACTATTAAAAGTGCTTTTTATTATGAGCGGTTGTGTAAAATGACTATAAAGGACTTATAATATACAATATAAATAAAAATTCTAAACAATAAAAAGTAGTCAAAATGGATCTTGTTAGATTTCTTTTATATTAAATAATATGATTTTATAATTTATTTTATTTTTAAAATGATATAAATGAAGGAAAATTATATTTTCTGAAATAAAATTAAAATATGATAAGGATAATCTTGTATTTTCAAAACAGTTTTTCGCAGAAGCTCCAAATCGGAGCTTCTGCTTTTATGTTATACGAAAGCGCTTTTCGACTTTTCAAAAGCCAAGCTTTTAGAGGTGTTTGGCCCTGCTTCAGCTTTTGAAGCCGAAAAGCACTTCTAAAAGCTGGGCCAAACATAGGCAGTGACGGTTCCTTAGCTGTCTCGAAAGTCTGGCCAATTAGTGGCAGCTCTTTTGGTACGAGCTGTGATAGTCTTTAGTGGCGATTAAATGACGGTCACTAGATGGAGCTGTAGCTTTTATGATTTAATTGTCTAAGTTGATTATAAGTGTTGATTATGTATTGTCAAATGGGTTTGTAATTGATTTAATAAGTAATCTGAGTAGTGTACGAATTATGATGTTTAATTAACTTAGTAATTAATAAAATAATTTAGTTTAAGCTCATTAATTATTTGGTCTAATAATATAGCGAATGTTGTTGTTGAGTGGTTCTTTAAGCAAGTTAATAGGTAAAGAGTACTCATTAATTTATTAGCTACCGAAATAGTGGTTTCGGGTAGAATGATATGATAAATTAAACTAGAAGAGACTATAATATTTGATATGATTAGCAAGTTAGATAAACTATGCTAATGAGGTGAATTTACTAGTTCTTTTAATAGAGTAATATATGTTATAATATGCTCTTGAATCTTGGATTCAACTAGGGTAGTGATATTAGCATGATTAGTTTTCCAAGTATTTAAATTGGCTAAGATCTTAAAACTATTAGATTTAAGGAGTCAATGTTTTAGTATGATTTAATTAGTCGTACTGTGCAATTATTGCAAAGTAGTCCTGACCGTTAAGAACCGTCGCTAAGAATATCCAAAACCCAACCGATCTAACATCAGTATTCGCCATAGGTTAACAAGGCGAATCATCCTCTCTAGAGCATCGATTCTTTGAGTTGGTGGCAAGATCAAATCAACCGACTTAAATTAACAAGGTGCGTAGTTTGAGGGGCTAGTTAGTATTCCATTCTGAATTGTTTATGATGAATGTTACTTGCGTTACATGATATGCTCTTATATGCTATTTATGGTTGAGATATGTGTTTATGAGATACATGTTCAAATTTGTGAATCATGCTTAAGTTTATGAATTATGTTCATTATGCATAGTATCATGCTCATTAGAAAATCATGACCAAATCAAAGTTATTAAGTTGAATTTCCCATTGTGCGGGAGATCACCAAGCTCTTCAAGTACACATGTACGTAAGACTTAATTATCTCTCTCCATGGTACGAGAGATTAATTAAGGCAAGCATGTACAATTACCAAGCTAAGTAATAACAAGTTAATAAGCAAGAACAAGTTAACCTCGCTTAGCTAGCCACTATCTAGAGGGATCCCTACCGGATGGCGGTGATTCGTTCCACGGTAGTGGATTAGGTATGGAGCCGGACGGTGATGAGTTCCGCGGCCTCCATTGCCTAGGTTTACGTGTGCTACCGGATGGTGATTCGTTCCGCGGTAGACATACTCTACTTTGACACCGGATGGTGATTCGTTCCGTGGTGTTCAATCAAACTCATGTGAGGCTCCCCATTGTGAGGGTAGCCATTGTGAGGGTAGCCATGTTTAAGTAAGTAAGACTAGTAGTGGCGCCAGCTAAGTCGAGGTAGGGGCCCCGTCATAAGATAAAATACGCAAGATACCTAGAAAGTGAACAAGAATGATAAGTTTAAGAACTCCTAATAATGCACTAAGACACTGCATGGCATTTGCACTCATTATGCATGTTGGATTGTTTTATATTATGTCAAGAATGGAATTAGGATTAGGACTGACCCCAACGCCCGCATTCAGGAATCATAGAAGCCAATAAGCACGCATATGGATTCAACGATTCATCATTGGCTCCAGAGCACTGCAGAAGGAAGAAGTTAAGTTTAGTACTTTAGTGGGACGAGAGACTTGATGTGATTTTACGATGAAGTTTTATTAAGACAAATATCTCAAGGTTGTCCAGAGCACGCATATTGTTAAATGTACGAGATTTTCCGTTGTTATTCAAAGCTTTAATATTCATTACTTTTTTAGGGTATTTTGGTAAAAGTAGCACCCTATCGGGTTAGGGTGTTACATTGCTGTTGTCTTTTTTTTTTTTTTTTGCCGCTAGACAATAGCTTGTGTTTTAATCAATTGTTAATATTTGGGGTCGTGGAGATTCGAACAAACGACCACTAGATCAAACCAACTATATAGCATGTCAGGAACCAGTTGATCTCAAAAATTCGAGTTGTTGAGAAAAAATTATGTTCGATCTTATACTTCTCTAATATAGTTCAATATATGCGGCTATACGTTGTTGATTGGGATCTTGAAAGCCATCAATCTCTGCCATAATTATGGTCATTACTCGACCAATCAACTTAATTTCAACCCCAAACCTAACCATCCACATTGATCATTAGATACATTGCTCTCCACAAGACTCCAAATAGTCCTCCATATATTTGATACGTTGCTTTCCTTCAGTCATCCTTTCCAATCTGTCACTTATACCATAGAAGAAATATCTGCCTGTTTCATATTTGCTTTTTAAGCTAGTTTTTTCCACTTGTGGGAATATGACCGATCGATTCGTCCGTATCAATTAGCTTAACCTAGCTAGTTAGTTTTGGCATTTTCCAAGTGAAAATCCAACCGAATTTGGAGTTTGTGCTATATTTCTATAGGATTTATTACATACTCGAGACAAGAAAAAAATTAAAATAGATGCATCCAGCTTTGACATTCTATCAACTATTGTTTTGATAGTTCATACTTCATAGCAAAAGTTGTATGTTACATGTTCTATTGAGATATATGTCCTTCCACATTTACCATTGATTTCATGATCAAAATGTTGAAAATTAAATGAGATTAAATATGACAAAAATATAGAAGAAGAAGAAGAACTAATAATTGGCCAACTCTCCGATGCCTACCTATATAATCAACATATATGATCTACAAATGTTCTTTTGTTGGTACTTGGGAAAAGCCTGTCGATTGATTATTATTATATATATACCATAATTAGTGCTTAAATTGAACTTAGACTATAACTATACACAAGCAGCAAGCTGTCCCAAGCTCATAAAGCCCCAAGCTTTTTCATGCTCAAAGATTATGTCATAAATTTAAAAATACATATTATAAAATTAATAAATTCTCTGACAAAGTATCCTAAGAATATCTTTATATGACTGGAGGTTCCTTATATAAGGATACCTATTTTGAAATCAATGATGTAGGTATATATGCACCCCCAATATATTAGCATATATCAAAGGAATTTGGAAGAGTTCAAACTTAATAAAGAGAATAGTGCTCCCCGATTTCATATTTTTGCATAACGAGGAGAGATTCACGTGAAGCGAGGCGATAAATTGCAAATCGGTGAATTGATCGACAAATGATCATATCACGTGAAAACCCCAGCTTCAAAAGATCATATGAAAGTTCAATGATCACATAGTAATGTCAAATAATGAGCAAAGAAATTTGTCGTATCATAATGCTCACGACATTTTCCTTCATAAGATTATATCACAAAATCATTACAAACCATGCCTCATAATGCATCATCAAAATATGAGCCGACTGTATTGTGATGCATGTGGCGCAACTATTGAAAGTAAATGTTGTAACGGATTGAGAAATTAATAATGCAGAAAATTAAAGAACACACAGATTTATGTGATCCACTAATACGATATGTATATTAGCTAATCGTCGAAATGTTGTTTGATTTGAGATAACTCTAGAGAAAGCAACAAAGGAAGGAACAAAAGCTAGAACTTGGCACATAAGTGAATCAAATTGACAAAAAAATCAAAGATTGGAGGAGGATAAACACCTTTTTCTTCTCTCTTTCCCATCACTTTCTTTACCCAATCACATACTACTTTATTATCATCCCTAGCTAGCAATTTCCCTACCAAGCACTCCCCAAGAACAAAAAATGGGTGGCAATCATTATCGAACATGGGTGCCACCCCATCTCATCCATCTCTCTTTCCCTCTTGACAACTCTCCACCTCCCAAAAATTCCCTCCCCTTTTCCCCACCAACTACCCAAACTTCCCACTTATTTATATAAACCCCCTCCTCCCTCCAAAAAAAATCCCCTCCTTTTACAGGAGGAAAACACCCCATTCCCTCCATCCAAAAAAAAACAATCCCACCTTCCAAAAACAATGCACATTAGCTCCGACCACGGCCACAAATCGGCGGCGGCCGGACTACTACTCGCTCTCCTCCTGATCAGCAGCGGCGCCACTACTGATCGCAGTGGTGCTGCTGCTACCTCTTCTGCTGTCGCATTAGCGGCAGCAGCGAGCAAGAGGGCCCACAAGGGCGCTTCTACTGCGGCCGCACAGTTCGTGGGGCCGCAGAACGCGGCGAGGGCGGCGCTGAAGATGCCGCCCTTGCGGTGGGACGGGAGGCTGGCCGCCTACGCGTCGCGGTACGCGGCGCAGCGGAAGTGGGACTGCGAGCTGGTGCACTCCAACGGGCCGTACGGGGAGAACATATTCTGGGGGAGCGGGGACGGGTGGACGCCGGCGCAGGCGGCGAGCGCGTGGGTCGCGGAGCGGCGGTGGTACAGCTACTGGTCGAACTCGTGCGCCGGGGACCAGGACTGCGGCCACTACACGCAGATCGTGTGGCGGGGGACGAAGCGGGTCGGGTGCGCCCGGGTGGTCTGTTCGGGCGGGCAGGGTGTGTTCATGACTTGTAATTACGACCCGCCTGGGAATTACGTTGGGGAGAGACCTTATTGATTTTAATAATATATATGATTAATCATCGTAATGATAGATTTCCAATTTTGATTTTCATTCTTTGTCTTCGTTTCGCCCATGGGCTTGCTCCTAATCTCATTGTAACTAGTGATTATCGATTATTAATTAACGGATTGAGTCTAGTGGTACTGAGAAAGAGAGCGAGTTGACTTGGAAAATAGTTTGGTCGATATTGTATCGAGTTGATCAAACTATTGCCGATATATAAGGTGATTAAACTTTTTCATTCTTTTATTATGTTACGTTTTCTTGTTTGTGAGATGAAGAAATAAGCTAATATGAAATTGAATAAGGCATATTGTGATTTTTCCTCGTTATGATTTTTTTTATCATTATGTCGAATGGTGATTGATCCCGACTCTGCAAATTTAGTACAACCAAACCAATCGTCCCAGCTTTCAATTGCCGCTCGAAGTCGAAGAGGTGTGTTCATGAGTTGTTAGATTGTGACTAAGATTTTGTACTATGCTAGGGGATTACATTAGGAAGGTACCTTATATTGAGCAAGGAAATTGAGACTATAATCTTGAATGAGAGATTACATTGGACTAATTTTCAGATCACTCTGATTTTGATCATGCATATGATTGCCCACCAAAATACATTACCTTTTAGATGGGCAGATTATTAGGCCTTGATGGGCTGAAGTGGGAAGAAAGCCCAATCTTGACCCCTTGATACCGTTTCTTAATTAGATGGGCTTATTTGAAGCCCACTATAGTCTGTCTTTCGTCCCACTGGAAAGACCGAATAACAGCACGTGTCTGCCCTTCTTTCCTTCCCTCCCATTTCCCCACACTCAACCGCCGCCCATTTCCCGCCGCCGCCCCGCCCTCCATTCTTCGCCGGAGTTTCCCACCAGTCATTTCCCCTTAAATTATCTCTTTCGTCACGTTTTCCTTGAAAGATCTCGCCCCTCTGAAATCCCCCTGAACGATTGATTCACACTCTGTAAAGTAAAGTCCGTCCCTTTCCCACCCGAAAAGCCGTTTCTTCAGCAGGAAGCACTACAGTCGATTACTTTACTGTTGTAGATGATTCATCGTCGGGCCGCATGATTCCACCCGATTCACATCTCGTTCTACCCGCTACGCATCCCACACCGCTCCTTTTTCACGGCGGCACCGCCTATCGATCTTCTCTCCGGTTTGATCCGACGACTGGATCCCGCTACCGGCGGCGGATGTGTAGCATGTCTTCGCCCGTCTGTTGCTTCGGGGAAGGCAGTTGGCGGCGGAGGAGGACGAAGGGAGGGTTGAAAGTGGAGATTGACAGTGGCGGGGAAGATGTTTTGGATGCAGGAGTTGCTGCGGAATCGAGGGCTTATCCTGAACATCTGGTGGTCATGGTTAATGGGCTCGTTGGAAGGTTGAGGAAAAAGGAAAAATAAAGATTCAGACTTTGGCTTTGTTCTGGTCTAGATGCTTTCTGGGTTCTTACTAATTCTGTGGGGTTTTGTTTTAAACCTCGTGTAGCTCTGCGGATTGGAGATATGCAGCAGGGCAGTTTGTGAAGAAACATCCGGATAAATTGGTTGTGCACAGTAAGTAGATCTTTCTGCAAATGGTGATCCTGGAATTTCATTATCCGAGTAACTTGTAGGATATTGATTTACTGAGCAGGATGATAGATGAATCTAGGGCCTTTCTGATTCGGGGCCGAAATGTTATCCTTGGGCATGTATGTAACCTCGTATTGTTTGTTTGGTTATGGAACCAGGGAGTGAATGCAACTCATCTAAATTGACATTTGATGGTGTTGATTTGATGGGTGAGAGGCTGGCTGAGGAGGTAATGTTTGACAGCTAACTGTCTTATTCCTAGAGTGTGATCAATTGACAAGCTAGTAGTTTTAGAAGGAAACCTGTGCTAGTTTGAGTTGCGTTGATATTGAATTGTTGGTTAATGGCCTAATGCAGGTACTATCTCTTGTCAGGCGTCGTCCTGAAGTGCGGAAGATCTCATTTGTCGCTCACTCCTTAGGCGGACTTATCGCCCGGTATGCTGTTGCAAGGTTGTATGAGCAATCACCAAAGGTGGTTCAATCAGGAGATGCAATGCAAGGTGCTGATAAAAAACCTTACGAAGACAGAATCGCAGGGCTTGAACCAATTAACTTCATAACCTTTGCATCGCCACATCTCGGTTCACGAGGACATAAGCAGGTAAGAACTGAAACCGATTGATCTCATACTGCATACTGTTAGTAGGGGGGAAAATGCGGGTTCCTTAATGCTTGATTCCAAACAGTTCCCTATTCTCTGCGGCCTTCCTTTTCTTGAGAGACAAGCATCTCAGACTGCTCACTTGATCGCTGGAAGGACTGGGAAACATCTTTTCTTGACTGATAATGATCATGGGAAGCCTCCTCTTCTCCTCCGAATGGTCAATGATTCTGATGAATTGAAATTCATGTTAGTATTTATCTAACACTAGTCTGGATTTAGTTGAACATTATATGCTTAGAAATGGAATGGGTTGCTAACTTCATTTATAATCTGTGTAGATCAGCTCTGTGTGCATTCAAGCGTCGCGTGCTTTATGCCAATGCTAATTTTGATTGTATCCTTCTTCTTGGTATTTTCAGCTTCTCAATCAGAGTGAATGATATTTCTAGTGAATTGTGCCATATATATCCTCTTCTGGTCCCTCTATTAAGAGTTCCATGACAATTAGTTATAGTTAGAACCGATTCATGCTTAGTAAGCTCGTACTGGACAACTCACATGCCACATATTTTGTTAAAATAATATAATAAAGTGAGTAAAATGTCATACTATTCCATACATCCAGTCCAGTATTTATATGCTGCTATCATTTTGCTTCAAACTGTTTTTCTTCTTAACGCATTAAGATATGGTTGGTTGGGGGACATCATCAATCAGGCGTCAAAATGAGCTACCTAAGGTGAGTTATTTTCTTCCTTTTTGTTTTATATATCCACCTGTTACTGCAGTCTCACCCCTGATATAAAAGTTTCTTCCTCGTCGTTTTCAGTCCACTGCACTTAGATTAGATGAGAAATATCCCCACATTGTCTACATTGAGCCTGAGAATACAGAAAACAAGCATGATCGAACATCTTCCTCAAGTCTCGTGGAACAGACGATGGATCTAGAAGGTTGCAAAACACTTTTATGCTTCTTCTAAGGATTGTTCTAATTTTTCAGTCTTCCTGACATCCTTTTGTCTATGCAGAGATGATGATCAATGGTCTTACTCAAGTACCTTGGGAACGCATACATGTTAGCTTCCACAAGAGTAGGCAGCGGTTGACTGCTCATAACACTATTCAGGCAAGTCTGCATGGCTAGTTAACACTCATCTAAGCTCCATTTCTCTACAATTACTCATTGGTATGCAGAATAAACTTCTTATATTGCTTGTGCCGATTGCAGGTGAAGAGCTATTGGTTGAACTCAGATGGTGCTGATGTGATTTACCACATGATAGATAACTTCCACATCTAGCTGCATTGAAGTTGGGTTCTTCCCATCAACAGTGTTCCAAAGATGGCCTGGATTTCTTCTTTATTCTCATGTGTCATGTGCAAACATGAAAGTTCACATCTTGGTAACATATAGAGAAACTGCAGACAGCAGACTGTTGTGCATTTTGCTCTTGCGTCTTGTAGATTATTAGCATGTGCACCAAAAAGCTGTATTTTCTCGAAATTAGTTCATCATTAGACCAAACTGCCAAACTGTATAAAGCTGTGTTACTGTGATTGTATAATGGTGCAATCTATCTGGATAAACTGCCAACCTTTTGGTTTGCTACTATGGTGTTAATAACTTGAATTCCAGGCCTTGGCTTTATACTCATGCATTTAGCTTCTGGAGTCTGCAATGTCTGGCCTGAGTTACCTGTCAGGAAACTCCATGGAGCTCTGCAGAACTGACTGACTATACATCAACATCATTAAACGAATTGTTACCTAGACATGTTTGGAAAGTTATAAAAAACGGCTACAAACAATAATTGTACAAGATGAAATGAAATTATTCTTGATACTAATAAATATTATCATTGAGGATCTTAACTAAATATTATCATTATCTTTTCAACACACATTTTATTTTCCTAGCAACATCTTATCCAATATTACCATCACATTATCACTTAACCACATAGATATCAAGATTATATTCAATTTTCTAATTCAAAATTTCTTTTTTTTTTGTTTAATTTAATTACTTCAAACCAAATAGCCATGTATCTATATAAAAAAAAAAACAAATTGTTACATATCAAATCGATTAGACTTTGAATGTGATTCTAAATTTGATTTTTTTCTTCTTTATCCGATATAATCATACTAGCACCATTCTCCACTCCCATACCTAATACTTGCAATCACTTGGGGCATGGGGGAAGATACTCACTAATCATATAACAATAACTCCCAAACATAATACTAACCTCTATAGAAAGAAGAAAAAAGTAACACCAATCATATTTATCAATCCGATTATGATGCTCACAACTCATTTATAAGAATGTATTCATTCAATAATCAAGAAATGCTTAGAGCACAATTTAACGAATATGTATACCTAACAATACATTTCACAAATATACCTTTGAGCATTTTAACAAAATTACTAATTTTTATGGGGAAATCAGGAATCCCTAAGAGATCTCTTCTCCGTGAAGAGCAAATAAAAACGATAATAGCCAAATTAGGATAACATTAAAAATCACACGTGGATTAGTCGTGTCAGTGACAAACTCTCTATCCTTCCTATCCCAACAACAAGATCAACCAAAATCGACAAAACCTAAACAAATGGCTAACGTTGGACAAAATCACAACTCACAAGACATAAATTACTTTTAGAAAGCTCTAAAAATTATTTTCTTCCATTAAAAATAAGAAAAAAATAAATAATAAATGGGTTAGCTCAGCGCCTCGGTCATTATCCGGTATATAAAATACAGCTTCCCCTCACTCTTTCTGTTGCATTCCGTGTCTCTTCACGAGCTCAATCCATTTGTGAGTTAGTTCTCTCTAACCATCTCTTCACTCTGGTTTCGGTAACGCTTGGTTCTCCCTTTCGGCCTTTCCTTTCGTTTCCCGTAAAAAGAAAGTATGTCCCCGTGATGGGGTTTGATCTGTTTCGCTTAGATCATGTGAAGTTTGACGCTTGATGGTGCTATGGCGGTCTCGTTTCTCTTTAGATATGTTATGTGGTTCATGAGAAATGGTTGAGAGAAATTCTCGAATGATTCATGATGTGGGTGGCTGATCGGATTGTTGTTTGTGGTTCGATCGTTTGCTGATTTCTCATATGCTGAAATGGGTTTTCTCTTCTCCTATGATTGTCGTTTTCGTGGCTGTTAGATTGATGATGAAAGTTCGGTTCTTTTCTGTTCATGGTTGATTTCCTAGAGTCTGATGAACAAGATGAAAGGCGGTAGGGTTGTGTTACTTCTTCTCCTTTGCTGGAACGTAGCCAATCTAGCAGTGGTAAGCTCGATGATCTTGTGGGGAATTTTGCTTGGTCCATTCGATTTTGTTCTTGATTTGTCGATGGTAAATCTTAGTATTATGATTTCTCCAGATTTCTGCCGCTCCACAAACTTGCCCTGCAAATCTCCAGGGACAATGTGGCGAATCAGAGGAATGGAAAGGTGAATTCTTTCCTGGAATTCCCAAGATTAAGTACGAGGTGAAGAAGTTTCCTAATCAGATCCTTCTCTGGTTGTTAATGTGAGGAAGATATATGATATATGGTTGGAGCTTATGGATTGATCAAACATGGCATTTGCAGGGTCCTAGTAGCAAGAACCATTTGGCATTTAAATGGTACAATGCTGAAGAAGTGATTCTTGGGAAGAAAATGAAGGTAGGGGGATTCTGTGTGTGATCAATCTTTTTTGTCGCTCCAAATTATGGGTTTTGTTTCTCTTTGAACTTGCTAATTACAGCTCTACTTACTGGCCTTTTTAGGATTGGATGAGATTCAGCGTCGCTTTCTGGCATACATTCCGCGGCACAGGAGGTGATCCCTTTGGAGGGCCTACCAAGTTTTGGCCTTGGGAGGATGGCACTAACTCAGTGGCCATGGCCAAAAGAAGAAGTAATAATGTTTACTTGAATGCAATTCCTCTTTTACTTGATTACCTTTTTAGAGTTTAAGTGGAAATCTGATGTATTACTTTTCTATTGAAACGATGGTCAGTGAGGGCCAACTTTGAGTTCTTGAACAAGATTGGAGTGGATTATTGGTGTTTCCATGATAGAGATATTGCCCCTGAAGGCGATACTCTAAAGGTCAGTTCAATACTTTCAGTCTTTCAGATGTCTTTGATTTCCTTAACAAATCTTTGCATTGGAAGGAAATGGATTCATTCTTTTCATCTTTTGTTTATATATGATTACAGGAAAGTAATGCATACTTGGATGAAGTGGTTGCTCTTGCTAAGGAGCTTCAGGTATAAGCACACAGCCAAATGAACTTTCTCCGATTCTCTCTTTGATTTTGGTATTTGGACCTTGTGCATTTGCTTTAGAGCCTGAAATTTTGGAACCCGAATGTTGCAGGGAAGCAAGATCAAACCCTTGTGGGGAACTGCTCAGCTGTTCGTGCAGCCTCGATACATGCATGGTGCTGCTACAAGGTAATCCATTAGTTCTTGGTTTTATTAATTTTATAATGCTTTTGCTTATGGAAGGTAATCCCCTGGTGTTGGTTCTGTTACCTAGTTCTGAGCTTTGTGTCTATGCATATGCTGCTGCTCAAGTTAAGAAAGCAATGGACGTGAGTTTTCTATGACACTTCCATTCACTTGGGATTCCAGTTTGTTCCCCTGCAGTAGTCACCCTTAATCAAAACCGAGTTTGTTGTACAGGTTACAAATTACTTGGGTGGAGAAAATTATGTCTTTTGGGGTGGCCGGGAGGGTTACCAGACTCTCTTGAACACGGATATGGAACGAGAGCTCAATCATTTGGTTTGTTTTGATCAATGGCTTTCTCATCATATGTAATGCTTTTGGAGATGTCTAGTAGTTGAACCAGATACATTTTTTCTTATGACAGGCTAGTTTCTTCCACTCTGCTGTTGCCTACAAGAAGAAGATTGGATTCAATGGTATGCTTCTCTTAAACCTTTTCAAGTCATTTTGTTAACAAACTGTTCTATATTTAGTAAATTTTGTCACATTTTTCTGTATCTTAGGCACCTTGCTTATTGAGCCCAAGCCTCAAGAACCAACTAAACACCAGTATGATTGGGACGCCGCCACAGCTGCAAATTTCTTGAGGAAGTATGGCCTTCTGGGAGAGTTCAAGCTCAACATTGAGTGCAACCATGCCACTCTCTCCGGCCACAGGTATGTGATTGTGTCTCTCCTTTGTTAATCAGTGTTCTTTCACCATTTCAATCACAACTCTTTCTTCTGTAAACTCTTGCAGCTGTCATCATGAACTTGAAACTGCACGAATCAATGGCTTGCTTGGCAACATTGATGCAAACACTGGCGACCCTCAAGTTGGTAAGGAGGAAAAGTTTTGATCTTTATGCATCAAAAAGTTTTGTTCTTTATGCAACAAAAGTTCCAGCCTTTAAGCATATGCACCAAAAGTTAATTTCTTTAATCTTTTCTATCTGCAGGATGGGATACCGATCAGTTTTTGACAGACATTTCTGAGGCAACTATGGTCATGCTTAGCGTCATTAGAAATGTATGTTCGAAATGATTGGTTGTCTTTAGCTTTTCAGAAGTTCATATTACAGTTGGTTTCTTAAAAAGCTAACTTTTAATATTCATTGTTTTCTTAGGGAGGAATAGCCCCAGGAGGGTTCAACTTCGATGCTAAACTGTAAGTTTCTTTTCTCACTTGTTCTGCTTTCTTCCATTGATTCCCTGAGCCATGAATTTTCATGTAAGTTGACAATGTTGACCAATGATTGATGGATGCCTCAGGCGACGAGAGAGCACGGATGTAGAGGACATCTTCATTGCTCACATTGTTGGAATGGATACTTTGGCCCGTGGACTTCGAAGTGCTGCCAAGCTGGTTGAGGTTAGTTAGACACAGTTCTTACCTTTAATATATGTCAAATTCAAACTCTCCCTCCTTACAAAGTAATGCATAATCCTGATCTCTTGCCCTTACTGTCCAAAGGAGGGTTCTTTGACCGAGCTTGTCCGCAAGCGTTATGAGAGCTTCGACTCTGAAATTGGGAAGAAGATCGAGGTAACAAATCAACCTTTTACATCGATTCATCTCTCTCTGTCAGCCTTCTGTATCGTTTGATAGCTGAAAACTCGAAACCTTTTGTGCTCTTACCACCCTTTCAGGCTGGGGATGCCGACTTCGAGTTCTTGGAGAAGAAAGCATTGGAATGGGGTGAGCCCAAGGTTCCTTCTGCCAAGCAGGTAATTTCAAAGTTCACTCCTCCCAGGAAAAAGCTACATTCCTTTTCTCATGATCATATTACGAATTCTTCGCGAAACCTGAAATGTGTTCTGGATTTTTGTTATCTGCAGGAGCTTGCTGAGATGCTGTTCCAGTCTGCATTGTAGGTAGAAGTTGCAGTATAGCAGAAGAAAAAGAATCATCAGTAGGGCTTTTCTTTTCTTTACTTTTCTTAGACTTCCATGGGAAATAAGTTCACAAATCAGAAGAGTTTGCGTCTCTCTCTACATTGTAGCCTTCTCAGAACGTTTTTTTTCTCATTGGCTCCATGTTATAAATGGGAAGTCTCAGAAATTGAGTTTATGTGGAATCTCTGATAGCTTCCAAGCTGGTCACCATTGTTATGCCATGGTTCCTATCAGAGGAATTCCAGTCAACTTATCATGGTTCATATGAGAAATCGAGTTTTTGGTGGGACTTTGGAAGTTACAACCTTGGGTTGTTAGGAAACCTAGTACGAGTGCAGCTATGTTTTGGACCAGATAGAAAGATGCTGGGTCGTATTCCTTTGCACAAGGGGCCAAAACCAACACGTAGCAATGATCAATCAAAATCAACGTAAAAGTCTTAGATAGTTTATTTAATCCACAATGGAGATTTCTGAATAATCCACAATTTGATCCGTCATTAGATTAGAAAAATGTTGCATAAAATCAAGAACGTCAACAAGACTACTTCCAATTATCTGAATTCAAATTTAGTTTACTCTAATTGTTTTGAAACTGCAAATTCAATGATAATTAATTTTGCTACGGAGTATATACCAGTTCAAACCGATACCAATTCATCGGCTCCCAAACAATAACCCACTAATCATCCAAATCTAAACAATATCCTCAATCTAAGAACCAAATCCACTACTCACTTCGAGGGTAGATTCTTTGTCAGTAAAATAGATCTCATGCAATTAGGGAAGGATTATTGATCCATTATATACACAATAAGACAATCCAATGTCACATTGGGAATAAAATTTTGTAATTTATATTGGAAAGAAAATGTACCTAAATCCTAATTATATATTACCACAAATTCCAAGACTACCGAATATTTTGTGATGAGTAGCCCACAATAAGTAATGTTTTTGGGGTGAGTGAGTCCAAGTCAATCAAGGGCAGCGCCATAGTTCAATGAAACACCTCTCCCTCCCATGTGATTTTCAATAGGTTTTAATTTGTATTCGAGTTATTGGTTCGAGTTGTAATATAATTGCCATTTTAATGATGAATTTTTTCTTCTTCTTTGTACTCTAGTTGCGACTCTTTTATACCTTATCTTCTCGATAACACGAGTGAGTTTTAACTAAAACTACATTCCACCTTGTAATACATGCACTTTGCTCAAATAATTTCCCCAATGATTAGTGAATGCGAATTTTATGCGATGACATTTTATGTATGTTGTATAAATCCATTTCGTGTGACATTCACGTGTCATTTCTGTGAAATGTCAGCGCATCTTCATACCGACATGTTTCAAACTTTTACTGACGATTTTGCTCCATTTACTAATGTCACCGTAGTCGATTTTTCTTCTTCTTTTGTGATGGGTCGACCATCAAAACCTTCGTGTAACGTGAGATCCAACGACGAAAGTCATATTTGTGGTACAAGTTGATCCCTAATCACCTGCGGTTGGACCATGGCCGGTCCAGCATAAGAAATTATATCGCCCTTTCGGTAATGGTGTACGCCAATTATATATGATCAATAGGAGAAAGAATGAGAAATTCATGGTAGTTGGACTAACTTACGAAGTGACAATTTTAATGGTTTATGATTCATGAACCCTAGCTAGCAACTCGTTCAGTCACCGACAAAAACTATAATAAAAAAATCAGTGCTAAGTTGCCATAACCGAACGGAGAATATGGTGGCCATAATATATATACGACATTCAATTGAATGAACACAAGTCAAAAACAAACATCCGGTCGATTTTAAGAAAGGAGGAAATTTAGAGCTCTTCTACCATACTTACAAGATCAATTGGTGTTTTCCTTAAAAGAAAAATTGCAATGGTACATACGAAATTTGTAGTTTTAGCGTTGTGATACAAATGCAGATTATATCTATATATATTTTTTAACAAGTTTCTTTGTGGTATAAACGAAATTTGTACCGTTTATCGTTGTTGTACAAATTTAATTTTTTACATATGTATTTTCTGCAAATTCATATATGAAACAATTTGAATTTATACCGAATTTAACTTATATCTGAAAGTACCCGTGCTTATGAACCTTTCGAAATGCATGTTTTGAAAATTAATACTGGTTGAAGTCGTGGCGATTAATTAGGGCTTGGATGACAAGTGGAAATAGTTGGACATGGCCAGGTGTGCGACATGCAGTGCATGCAGAAAAGTGAAGTGATAAACTGATAATCAATTAACAAATAATAACATGTGCTCAAGTTTTTCGTTACAAGAAAGAAGCACGTTGCCAATGAGTTGAATATGGACATACCAATAATTCAGAAGTACGAAGGACAGTATTACAACACTATATATACCACTCCCAATCGTTTTTGTAAGTTAGTTCGTCTATTTCTTTCACGAGTTATGGGTTCGATCTGGAACTTTCGATTCTAAACGTTCAATTCTTAGTATACATGAATACTCCCTCATCAGCTCCTATTCCTACAAAAAATTATAGTGGCAGCCAACAGAGCAGTTTTCTTTGTAGTATTATCTAATTGAACTAGCTAGTTCCATGCATTGTTGAATGGCATGGCACCCATTAACGACCGCCAAGGCGCCAACAGTCGATATTCTTGACTAGAAATGGAATGCAGCCAGGAAGAAAACCGGACCAAAAAGGAATATAAAAACAACAACAAAAAATGAACAAATCAGAAGGAATAACTATCATGATTATATCTAAGACACAAAAATCAGACACGAAACGAAACAGTTCTCTCGTCTCATCATCAGTCATCTCATGATCATCATTTACATGGTTGGTGGCTAGCAAAACGACGAAACAGGAAATATAGAATAGTATGCAAGATTGGTGGAGACTGGAGAGATGGATCACAGTATAACATGGCAGCTGCATTTGATCCCTTTTTGAATCTATCAATTTTGCTGGCTTGATTTTTATATAATAATATATATCATATGATTCATCATTGATATGATTTAAATATGTTTGTCGAGAACATATTGATACTATGGGGTCGTTTGGAAGTTGCGTATGTTAAATCGTTGTATTGTTATGAATCACTATGATATAAATGCATGTATTGATACAATAGATGCATTTTGAAATTACATTGTTTGGTTGTTGAGATTATAATTTATGAATTGATTGTTATAAAGTTACTTTATAAGGAAATGTCATATTTGTCCTCCACTTTTAATATAAAACAAAAAGAACTATGGACATAATTGAGAAAAGTAAATATGCTCAATTATTAAACCAACAATCACAACAATCTCAACTTTTAGTTGAGATTGTACAATCCCTCATTTTTGTTGATTGTAGGTGGGGCCCACACAAAATAATACATGCATTGTTTTGCAACTTGACACTTCCAAACGTTGTATTGTGGACATGAGATTTCGGGGACAATGACTCTGTCGATTTCTGGATTCGTGTTCGTCTTTTCCCCTTTGTTTGGGAGAAAGGTGCTTGCACATAAGAGAGGGTGATTAGAGTTAATAAAAATACATGTAGATCTTACAACAAGTTTGTAAAATAGAACATTTTGTAAGGCACTATACTCCCTCCCTGTCCGCCTGATTATAACGGTTCAAATTAAATCCATTCAACTTCATAATTTTTTTGCCTCCTCCGTCGCTTATCATATCTTGACTGTCATTGGATTTTTGGCATTTACTGTGTAGGGTTTGGAGAAGATATATGTCTATACAAAAACCTCTTGATCACCCCTCTTTGTAATTTATATTCTCATAACCTAATAATGAAACCAATTCTCCTACCCATGTGAAATAACTAAAACGCATCGTGTGTGTGTTTTTTTTACAATCAACACATCGTGCGTGTTAGTGAAAACGAGTTTCTGTACGTCCATTCTGTAATAACCGTTAATTATTAGTAGTCAATAATTTTATCAATAATCATTTCGTCATCAATGTGAATTATGATTATGAATAATTGGTGGGTGAATTTCCATTTAATTATATTTAGACGATGTTTTTTTTTTCTTGGGTGGGATAGCCGATGTTTTAATTCCTAGACAAACAATAAACTAACAAGAAAAAGAACATATATAAAAAAACATGCCACTAGTCTCTTGATCCCTTTTCGTGGCTGCTCAATTCAATCCTCAGAAGATACCATATCTCTAATCCAAGAGAGAACCCTTGTTGAGCATATTATAGGGGTTTTTTTCCCGGTTTCTCATAATGGTGATTCAATAATACTTATAACCAAAAAAGGATAGAGACCAGCATAAAGAGATCAAGAGGTAATGAGGGAAAAAGGGAAATAATATAGAATAAATGACGAATTCATTGACTGGCGCTATATAAAAAATATATAAAATAGTTTTGTCAATTAAAGAGTAATATAAGATTCATTTTTTTTCTCTTTTAATAATCCGAATTACATGACCGAACCAATCACCAATCAAGCAAATATTCACGACTCTCTCAACATAGACGATTGAGCTTATACCACTACTATTAGCAAGTACGTAGTATCATTTCGAGGCATGCACTAACCGTTACTTTCTAAATTTGTCTGCATGCATAATATTCGAGTTTCTGCCGGAAATCTGATTAATCGAGAACCTATTAAGATCTCGCGTACCGTCTAAAGAAAACAAGAGAACTATCCCATTTGCCCTCAAATCTCATATCAACTGACATCTAGCAATAACAAATCTATTTAGACTACAAATATAAAATGGTTAAAATCAACTCAAAACTATGAGCAATGTTTGTTTTATTGGAGGAAAACTCAGAGGCAGTCAGCAGCCAAGAAAGAACAAAGAAAATATCCCCAAAAAGAACCCCTTTGGCACGAGGAAAATATTTGAATAAGTTGTATTTCTTTATCTCATTATAAACGGGGGATGGCTGAAACACAACCAAACAATTTTCATCTTCCTTTGTATAATTTTTCTTATTTTTAGTTTCCAGTTGACTGACTGACTAGTGTGGAGGAACTAACCAATTTCTCCATCTCCCTTTCTTTCATTTTCCTTCTGTTTTGTTGGCTATAAAAGCAAGCCCCACTTTCCCCATTCAACCTCCAACCTCCAAGCTGCTGCTTCTTCTTCTTCTTCTTCTTTGTTCATTCTTTGGCTTCAACTCCTTCCATTACTAAGAACTTGGTGTTAAGAAAGGGCAAAATAGCAGTGAGAAGGTAGAGAAAAGGAAATGGCATCTTCAGTTCTGAGATCAACCTTCCTTCCTTTGGTCCAAGCTCAAGATGGCCAGTCTTATGCAAGCTTCCCTCCTAAACCCACCTCCACCACCTTCCTCTCCAAGAAGGTAAACCCCGATCGAGATATGTACTACGATTTAGCACTATACCCCTTTCGTTATTACCCGTGATCGTAGATAAACTGATAAGTCTTGTATTTGAATTCCGATAAACCGATAACTAACTTGATAAACTTTCGTAAAAGTTTAAATCTTGATAGATCACTTTCGAAACTTAAACATGTAACGAAAATTATTAATGACATTTTTGAGAGTTATTGTGACGAATTAGTTCTTCGGGTATTTCCTCAGAAAAACAGGGGAGCAGTGGTAGCTGCCGCAATGGAAAGTGACGAGGACAAGTTGACAATGGTGGAAAAGTACAATGAAACGAAAGAGAGAAGAATGCTGGATTTCTCCGGCAAAAAGCCCGCCACTCCGATTCTCGACACCATCAATTACCCTAACCACATGAAGAATCTCTCCATCCAGGTACCCACCCTTAAAAAAAAAAAACAGAGCTCCTCTGTTTTTTTCTTTTTTGTCCATCCATGGTGATCTCACTTCCGTGGGGAAATTTTTTTGTCTCTTCCGCAGGAGCTGGAGAGCTTAGCTGATGAGCTGAGGGAAGAAATCGTCTACACAGTTTCCAAAACCGGCGGCCATTTGAGCTCGAGCTTGGGAGTTGCAGAGCTCACCGTTGCCCTCCACCATGTTTTCAACACCCCTGAAGATAAGATCATTTGGGACGTCGGCCACCAAACATACCCACACAAAATCCTCACCGGAAGAAGGTCGAGGATGCCGTCGATCCGGCAAACGTTTGGTCTCGCCGGGTTTCCGAAGAGGGACGAGAGCGACCACGATGCTTTCGGCGTCGGACACAGCTCCACGAGCATTTCAGCTGGATTGGGTATGGCCGTCGGCAGAGATCTGCTCGGGAAGGACAACCATGTGATTTCGGTGATTGGAGATGGAGCCATGACCGCCGGCCAAGCTTATGAAGCCATGAACAATGCTGGGTACTTGGATTCCAATTTGATCATCATTTTGAATGACAACAAGCAGGTTTCTCTGCCCACGGCCACCGTCGACGGGCCGGCGCCGCCCGTCGGAGCTCTCAGCAAGGCTCTGACCCGGCTCCACTCCAGCAGGAAGCTTCGCATGCTGAGGGAGTCTGCCAAGGTGAGTCATCGCCATAATCAATTCAGTCAAAAGTACGATTTTTACGTACAAGTATTTTGGTAATTTAGTGTAGAATTTGATGATGCGGAAGATGAAATAACACGAGAACACAAAATTTTACGTGGTATCTTCGATCGATTGATTGATCGAGACTAATCCACGGTGAGCTCGGAACGAGCTCACGACTGATGTTTTATTATACGACTACATCTTGACGGCTTGCTTACGACATGTTCGTAGCTAAGCTTATATAGAGATAGACGTAGGGTTAAAACCCTAATGACAACCAAGTTTCCTTCTTTGACAAGGACAAGGAAACAAGGGACTTGGAAGACAAGGAATTAATTATTTTTGACTAAATAATTAATATCCTCAACACTCCCCCTCAAGCGAAGACATGAGTGACAAGAATGTCGAGCTTGAAAAAGGAAATGTGACGAACAAGCATGACAAGCTTGAACAACAAAACTCGAGATGAATAACATCTCGGACGAGGTTGATTTGGAGACGATTGACTCTCTCCCTTGAACAACCTGACGAAGATGGTTGACTGCATCTTCTTGAACGTCGTGATGGAGACGGTTGACTACGTCTCTTGAACGACCTGACGGAGACGGTTGACTGCGTCTCTTGAATGACTTGACGGAGACGATTGACTACGTCTATCCGTATGATATGGTGGAGATGGTTGACTGCATCTCCTGAACGACTTGACTCCCTATTCTCCCCCTCAAGCTGACGCATGAACGACGTGAATGCCCAGCTTGAAAGTAAAAATAGTGGAGACTGAAAATTACCTGTTTCTGAACATCAAGGGGACGATCGCTTTTGTGATCGTGACTGCCTCGATTTATAACTTGAACTTTTTTGTTGATGAAAGCTGTTTTATCTCCTCAACCCCAACTACTGACTTGCGACGATGTAACCGCAACATGACTTGTGGTGAGATAAAACTCCACCTTCCACTTCCCAACTGCAGAGTACCACACAAATTAAAGGAAGCGCCAGGACACACAAGCACTGGGAAAGCTTTGACATGAACTTTCACGTCAATCCTTGTGCAAATACCAACAGAACCTCATGCAAAAACCATTATTCTTGACATCATGGTGCAAACACCAATGCCCCACGATAAAGTGTGAGTGATTAAAGAAGATGATCCGGCCGCAAGCCCGTAACGACTACAAGGCTTCTCGAAAGGGAAGATTGATGCAGGTTAGTACTCTTTCACAGGAGCAATGAAATGCGACAATGAACCCAAAGCAAGCTACTGAGCGGGTGACAATTACATAACCTATCCAACCACCAGGAGCATAATGAATGCTTGAGAGGAAGACATCCGGCCTAGCACGCAATTCTCTAGTTCCCCGTGACTAAGATGAAGACATCCGGCCGACTAAACTTCTTGACAAACACAGCGAGTCAGCGACTATGGCATGAACTTTTAACTTGAGACGAGTGGAACGCTACGACGCGAGGAGCTGCCTTCTACAAAGATGGTGTTGATGATGACTGCATGCAGCGGACATGGCCTATGAAGACCGATGAGGGCGTGGCCTTCTTGTTGCACTGGGAGATCAAGGGCGTCGGTAAGGTTGACGGCAGCTAAAAGATGCCCAGGGCGCTGATGGCACGGACAGCGACGGAGACGGAGTGGGTAGCCAGAATGAACATCGACCCTCAGGACGATTGCAGCCGTGAATGAGGGTATCGACGCCGGGATGATTGAGCCGGCGAACGGCTTTGACTGGTCAGTGTTGCGATCCAAGGCGGACTGGACTTCGCCTCGGTCAACCGGACGTGTGAAGAGCGGGACTGCTCATCCGAATCAACAGCCGGGATCTTTTGGACGGATCTGGGAGATCAACAACAAATAACCCCAACAATTGACGATTGACGAACCATGGCGGAATGGACTTCGCCTAGGTCGACTATGCTCAGCGGAATGACATCGCTGATGAACAAAACAAGCCAGCGAGATGAACTTCACTGGTGCGCGGAAGACTAGCTGAATCTACAGCTCTGATACCATGTAGAATTTGATGATGCGGAAGATGAAATAACACGAGAACACAAAATTTTACGTGGTATCCTCGATCGATTGATTGATCGAGACTAATCCACGGTGAGCTCGGAACGAGCTCACGACTGATGTTTTATTATACGACTACATCTTGACGGCTTGCTTACGACATGTTCGTAGCTAAGCTTATATAGAGATAGACGTAGGGTTAAAACCCTAATGACAACCAAGTTTCCTTCTTTGACAAGGACAAGGAAACAAGGGACTTGGAAGACAAGGAATTAATTATTTTTGACTAAATAATTAATATCCTCAACATTTAGAAACTTTTAAACATGATTTTAACTACATTTATTAGAAAAAATATGATTCTAAAAATGTAAAGTTTTAAACTTTAAATCACGATTTCAATTACATTAATCGCAAGATTCAAAGTTTAGAGATTTGAATGGAGGTAAATTGGATGGTTTTGCAGGAGATCACGAAGCAGATTGCTGGGCCGAAGACATATGGGCTGGCAGCGAAAGTGGATTCCTACGTGAGAGGGATGACAGGTGGGCCAGGGGCAAGCCTGTTCGAGGAGCTTGGGCTGTATTACATTGGCCCAGTTGATGGGCATGATGTGGCAGATCTTGTCCTCTTGTTGAAGAAGATCAAGTCCATGCCAGCTCCTGGACCTGTCCTCATCCATCTCATCACTGAGAAGGGGAAAGGCTATGCTCCAGCTGAATCTGCTGCTGATAAGATGCATGGTATGTAAAATAAATCGAGATAACTCGTAAACCAGTTCGCGTCCCAATAACTCGAGTAGTTGTTGTGTTAGACGTTAGTGACTTTAAGCAGAAGTAACTGAAAACTTGTTATGATTTTTCACAGGTGTGGTGAAGTTTGATACAATCTCTGGGAAGCAAATCAAGACCAAGACACCCACAAAGTCATACACTCAGTACTTTGCTGAGTCCTTGATAGCTGAAGCTGAGAATGATGACAAGATTGTGGCAATCCATGCTGCCATGGGAGGAGGGACAGGGCTCAACTTGTTCCAGAAGCAGTTCCCTGAGAGGTGTTTTGATGTTGGGATAGCTGAGCAGCATGCTGTCACATTTGCTGCTGGTTTGGCCACAGAAGGGCTGAAGCCTTTCTGCACCATCTACTCATCTTTCCTGCAAAGGGGTTATGATCAGGTTGTTCATGATGTGGATCTTCAGAAGCTGCCTGTGAGGTTTGCAATGGATAGGGCTGGCCTTGTTGGAGCAGATGGGCCAACACATTGTGGAGCTTTTGACACAACTTTCATGGCTTGTTTGCCAAACATGGTGGTCATGGCACCTTCAGATGAGACAGAGCTCATGAACATGGTTGCCACAGCTGCAGCCATCGACGATCGTCCCAGTTGCTTTAGGTACCCAAGAGGGAATGGCATTGGCACTGTTCTCCCACCAAACAACAAAGGAACACCTCTTGAGGTAAATCAGATTGTCTGGCCTGGTGTTTTAACCTTCGTTTCGACGAAGGTTTAGCATTTGATTCTGCTCTATATGATCCTGGACACTAATTTTGGTGTTTTTGTCTTCAACAGGTTGGGAAGGGAAGAATTCTGAGGGAAGGAAGTAGAGTGGCTATATTGGGGTATGGAACAATAGTGCAGAACTGCATTGAAGCAGCAGACAAGCTTCAAGCTTTGGGGTTCCAGCCAACTGTGGCTGATGCAAGGTTCTGCAAGCCACTTGATGGAGAGCTGATCAGAAGGCTGGCCCAGGAGCATGAAGTTCTGATCACAGTTGAGGAAGGTTCCATTGGTGGGTTCAGCTCTCATGTCTCCCATTACTTGGGGCTCAATGGATTGCTTGATGGCAAGCTCAAGGTAAAACACCGAATTTTGGATCGATCAGGTCATGAGTCAGTCGAGTTGAATCGCGATTTTTCGGAGTTCTAATGTTCTTTTTTGTTTTGCTTTGCAGTGGAGACCAATGATGCTTCCTGACAGGTACATTGACCATGGATCTCAGAAGGACCAGATTGAAGCTGCTGGATTGAGCTCAAAGCACATTGCAGCCACTGTTCTTTCTCTAATTGGACACAAGGAAAGCCTTCACCTTATGGATTTATAGAAAGTGGATAGTAAATAAATTTGTCGATTCTTTTCTTTAAGTTATTTAGGGGAGGTAGATAACATCTAAGTGCATCACTATGTATTATATTAGGGGGAAAAGTAAAGAGGGTATTATGAAAATTATTAGTAGCTCCCTCCCTCCCTTGTACTTTCATTAAATTTAATCAATGATACAAATGTTATGAATTATGATCCAAGTAAAATATGTAGGGCTAGACATGGTCCGATTCGGTCCAAATTGAACTACAACGATGATGAATCGTACTAGACCATTTTCAAAAATATACTTCATCTTATTGGACTCGATCCAAATGTGAACTTAATATGATTCAGTCTGATGCGGATTAGATCGAGGTTTGTCCCTAGGTCAATGTATGTATGCATAAGTTAGAAGAAAACTACAAAAATTTTCTGAAAGCTGAATGCTTTTCTACTTTTGCTCACAAATACTTCTCCAAGTCAATCTCTAGAGGGACATCATATCCATAAACCATGGAGAAATCATCCAATTCATCAGATGTAAACTTTGGTATTCTCCAGCTCTTGGCAACTTCAGAATCTTGTTGGCCAGTGGTCAAAAGCTCCAAGACCTCACTCATTGATGGTCGCCATGCTGCAGACTGCCTAACACAGTATGAAGCTGTTAGCACAACTCTGTACATTTGGTCTGCTTCATACTTGCCCTCCAGTTTTGGGTCAGCCAGTTCAGCTACATTCCCAGATTCCATCAGTGGCTTTGCCTGGGTTTTTTAGCAAGAAATATAAAGCAACATTAGAAAGAGGTTCATGAAGTTCATGTACCATATTGTTCTAATAAACATTTCCTTGAATCATACACACCCATAAGAGAAGGTTCTGCATAGAGGAATCAACAGGCCTTCTCCCAGAGATGATCTCTAGCAGCAGAACTCCAAAGGAGTAGACATCTGTCTTCTCATCCACAATCCCATGCATGAAGTACTCTGGAGCTAAGTAACCAAATGTTCCCTCAATTGGGATCACAGCATGGTGTGTCCACTTGTTTGGAAGCCATTTTGCCAGCCCAAAATCAGTGATCTGCAAAAACACATAACTCGTTGAAACCCTCTCTTCATCAGAATGAAACAAAATTGAAGAAATGGTTACTTAAACTAAAGTTACCTGAGGTTCATAGTCAGGTCCAAGGAGAACGTTGGAGGCCTTGATGTCGCGGTGTATTATGCGATGCTTGCAGCATTTGTGTAAGTAATGCAGTCCTCTTGCAACTCCAAGAGCTATTCTGTACCTTGTATCCCATTCAAGCACCTCTTCTGTTTTGCCTAAAAAAATTATTGATCCCCAAAAAGGTGTTAAACATTTTTATCTTGTGGCTTAATTAAGTTAAAGTTAACATTTTGGTGCTATGAGAAGCAAAGTGATGTTATTACCATGCAATGCAGAGGCCAAATTCCCATTCTGAGAGAAGCTTAAGATGAGGTAGAACCCATTTTCAATGCAGCAGCCAACTAGAGTTGCTGTATTGGGATGGCAGATATGGCCTATGATCCCTAATTCTGTGAGGAACTCTTTCTCCTTTCTAGCATCTGTGTTGTCCTTAGCTAACCTTTTCACTGCAATGGTTGTTCCATCAGGAAGATCTCCTCTATACACTTCTGAGTACCCTCCTACTCCTACTAGATTCCCTGCAAAATTTGTCACACACCCTTATGCAACATAAGAACATACAGATTATGACACGTGATTCGACAAATGTATCATTCATGTACACTTCCGATGTACTTCTAGAAATGATGCCATCTCAAATGCACATTTCTTTTTACCTACTGAAATGCAATGAACCAAAATCAAGCATGTTTTTTACCTGGATGGAAATCGTTGGTGGCTTGTGCGATTTCCTCGTAGGTAAAGCACTTGAGCAAAGGCTGCTGATGTTGATGTTGTAGTACTAGCTTTGGTTTTCCAGAGAAGCTTTGAGTTCTTCTTCTTCCGAAAGATGAAGTCAAGAATGAGCTGATGGCCGTATAAGGAGACATTATTTGCCTTCTGGACTTTGAGCTGTGAATCAACTTGGAAGGGAAATCTTCTGTTCCTGTTGTGGCTGTTGAACCTGAGATGCTGGAAACCTCATCTTCATTACTGCTGTGAGATGAAGATGATGATGATTCATCTTCCAACACAGTCCTAGGAGAATCTTTCTGTCTCCTACTGAGATTCTCCTTATCATGATCTTCACTGGCTGGGGAGCCAAGGCTGCTGCTGTCATCATTTGCCTTCCTTAACCACTCTGACCTTGATTGATGAACTTCTGCATAACATAACCAAAATGAACATGTTTTTCTAAAGTTCGTGTCTTCTCAAGAAAATGAAACATGTAAGTAGAGAATTAAGTAAGCAAGTCTACCTTTGTGGAGAACAGAGTTGAGATTTGGTTGTTGAGACTTCCCAATTGAGATGACTGAGCACCCCTCAGCAGCATGCTCAAAGCAATACTTGATGACCTCATGCCAAGTCCTAATTTTGAGTCAAGCAATTAAATAACCATAACCCATATCAGAATATGACATTCCAACAACATTAACAATACAAATTTGTGAACTTTTTTTTCTTCCAAACCTGTTGGACCTGCTTCTCAAGCCAGGAAGAACAAGGTAGTCAGCAGAAATGGAGTTCGACTCATGAACCAAACCAGCTTCAATACTCGAATTGAATCCAACTTTTGCCTCCAAGTTTATCTGCTTGGATTGGCAACACCAAGCATATTCTCCAAGAACAGAAATCACATGAGCTTTGGCTTGTCGAACACGGGACTGCACCCTCTTACTAGTCTTCTTCTTCTTCGGTTGCTCCTCATCAACTGTTGCAAAAGACAACCCAGATGGTCAGAATTGTAAGTGAAACAAATTCCATAATAATGTCTCTCCTTTTGTTCTGAGTTGTGGCTTACCAACAACATGGATGGCAACAATGGTGTCACAAGGGCCTGCAAGAACTCGAATGGCCCAAGAGAGAAGCTCATTGCTTTCCTCTGGGTCCAGTGGGATCCCAATTAGTATCTTGGAAGGAGATGAAGGGATCATAGCTCTGCAACCAAAGTCGAGAACTTTCTGGTGGGGTTTTTAAATGGGTGTACAGTTGTTTCTGTTATTTTGCTGGGTTTGGTTTAGAGAGAAGGCTTATATGGGTTGTGGGGGGTAATGACATAATGATTAAGAGGTGAGTAGAGGAGTGAGAGTGAGAAAGCTTGAAACAGTCTGATAACAAGAATACTATAATATATCCATTTCAATGATTCCCATCACCTTTCTTGAATCACAAGGAATCCAAGTCATCTATATTGAAGAAAGATAGGAGGGAGGGGGCCAAAAGGGAAGTTGCAGTTGGGGTGCTTTGGGGTATAAGCAAAGATTGGTGATTTGAGTTGGTAAGTTTCTTCTTTTTTATGACTTGTTCTTTTTTCAATTTGGGTTTGGTAAGGAAGAGTCATGCATTTGGCCAATGAAACAAGGGTGTGGTGTGGGGCTATAGTACTATGCCCTTGTTATCATGAAATTGGCCATAACCTTCACAACAAGCTAGTTCCCTCCCATCACTCGAGACTAATGAGATCTTAAATTCGAAAGTGATGTGTGCAAAGGCACACATGGACCAAAACCAGTTTCATAATCTTGATAACATGAATGTTGATTGCTGGGACTGAGCATACAATATATTGAGTTGTCCATTTCACAAATAACGTACTAGTTTTTGTTTGAGAGGTAAGGAAAAATCAATTATGAAAACTCATAATTTTGTTTAACAGGTTACATTATTGGAACAAACTACCCATCAACATAATATTAATGAATTGTCAAAACGTTCCACTTTTGAATCCTCACAATTTGTGATTTTAGCAATATAAAAATTGAGTTATAATAAATTCATACAAAGTTCAAACTAATCGATGGATTATCCTTTTTTTTTTGAGAAAATGTGTAATATAAGATTCAAAGCATACGTGATTTCAATCCATCATCTCTATATGATTTATGTACGTTTTTAACGTATTGTAGGAAGAACTAATCATGCACCTAACAAGAAAACTTCAGTACTTATCTTCTTCTTCAAGTTGAAGACAAGGGTACATTCTATATAAAAATGGAAAGTAAGCAATTAGTTGGTTTTTTCTTGACCAACTAATGTAATCCTAGCTCTTAACTACACACATTAAATTAGATGCTACACTTTGTTTTTACTTGAGCATATTGATGCCCTAAAATTGGATCATGGATGCCCAATAAATGTTAGATTATCGACCTATTGGTTTGAACCGTATGGAGTCATTCTTGAGAATCATGGCTTTGGACCGAATGTTTGAACCAACCACTATGAATGAGTTTGTCAAATACTCATTGGTCTCAGTTACGATTAGTCGATCAGATTGTCTGTTTCTTAATGAATGACTGTCACGCCATGCAAATAATGTATGACGATTACTGTTTCGATAATAAAGTAATGTATTCAAGTGGTATTTCAAATTATTGTTGCTTGTTGTGCTTAGAATAATTAAGATTAAGTTGACCATGCTTTGTTAAGTTACTAGTTAGATGTTGGCATTAGGCTTTCATAATTAGTGACTTATTCTGTGTCTCGTTGTGATTGTTTTGGTAATTAATATAATCGTCCATTTGGAAGCCTAGTAGTATAGTTGTACGGCCGGCTTTAAATTGATAAAATGTACATTGTGAGTCTTCATCATAAGGGAGAAGAACAATAGAACAAAAGGAAATGAAGCATTTGTGTTTTTTTTATAAGAAATGCATAATATAGAAAATTATATTTATTAAAGCGTTCGATGTCAATCTGCTACAAATGTGATTGAAGATAACGGAATAAGTAATAAGTAATAACCAAGAGAAATCTATTAATTTACTCAAAATACAATATCTATCACTCCTGGTGAGTATTTATATATAAATATTCGACAAACAAGAACTAATTATATGTGTAACAACCCAAAGAAAAAGAAAAAAGAAATCATTATATCCTATATAATTTCATAATAAGAATATATATAAAAAAAAACTTATTTTCCTATCAACAACCCAAATTCAACCTTGCCTTCTAAAATAACTCAGTACGATAATGTATCTCAAAGGATCGAGAAATGTTACTTTTTTAGACATCTTCGATTAAGAATGAATCAAACTAGTCTTTTCACGTCGTTCTAAATTGTATCTCACAAATGTAAATGTATTTTTCTCTCACCCGAACCTTCCAGTTCGATTATTGTTTCCGTGTCGTTTATAAGGATCTTGCATTTTTGGCAACTCTAACGCACTAAATACACCATATCCGCTTTCTTCCGGCAAACCGCCTCCACCACCGTTATTCCCTCCTCCTCTACCGCCTCCGCCGACACGATTCCCTCCTCCTCCACCACCACGATTCTTATCTTCCTCCTCGTCATCGCTCTGCTCCATCGCCATCAAATCCTCCCTGTACTTAATGCTCGCCAACCGGGTCTGGAGCGGTCGGGTTCTCGGGTCGTAATTCTTCAACATGTTGACCACTTCCTTCATGTTGGGCCTCTTCTCGGGCTCATTCTGGACGCACAAAGCAGCAACATACACTGCCTGCTTGACTTGGTTCTCGTCAAAGTTTCCCCTAAGTTTTGGATCCACCAGGTCCCTGAACTTTCCCTGGACTATGAACGGCTCAGCCCACTCGGTTATGGTCCGCTTGATCCCGCCGGGCAACTTTTCAATGGGCTTCCGGCCCGTGACGAGCTCGAGGAGGAGGATCCCAAAGCTGTACACGTCACAACTCTCCGAGACCTTCCCCCACATGGCGTACTCGGGGGCGAGGTAGCCCAGAGTGCCCTTGACACGTGTCGTCATGTGGCTGACTCCGTCGGGGATCAGCTTCGCGAACCCGAAGTCGGCCACCAATGGGTCGAAGTTCGAGTCGAGGAGGACGTTGCTTGCCTTTATGTCGCGGTGGATGATATGGGGCGTCGCCTCATGGTGCAAGTACCTAAAAAGAACGATTTGTTAAGCATATGAGTCATACGAGTAGTATTATGTTATCTTGGGAGTGTTGTTATGTAATTTGGCATATTTGCATTCCTTATCAGTAGAAATTAAGTGATTTTCATATTCGTATTAGAGTTATTATAGAAGGCTTGTCAAGAACTAGTTGGTTCCAATAACTCGAGTTATTGTGAGAAGTTCAGTTATGTATCTTATACCATTTACTAGCACATATCACTCAAACAAAAACCAACTCATATGAGTCTAAAGAATGCACAAATCCGAATTCCACGCGTGCTTAAGAGTTATCAAAATTCGAACACAAGATCTTTTGATCATCAAAATATTGTAAATCATATCAAGTATCCGATAATCTAAGATAATTCGAGTTATCGATAGAAGTTTAGTTTTGGAAACATATATCATATACTAAGAGGGAAAACTAGGTTGGAGAGGGGGTTTTCACTTACAGAAGGCCTTCGCCGGAGCCGATGGCGACCTTCATCCGGCGCTTCCAGTCCAGCTGAACCTCGCCGGCGAACTGGCCGTGGAGGTGAGACAGGAGACTGAGATTGGGCATGTAATCATAAACTATGAGGCGTTGATCGGTGCCGGCACAATACCCTCTTAGCCCTAACAAGTTCTTGTGACGCACCCTTCCAAGCACCTCCACTTCCACCGCAAACTCCATTTCCGCCTTCGAGTTCATCGCCTTCAACTTCTTCACCGCAATCTAACACCATCCATAACATAACAAAATTAATCAATAAAAAATTCAACAATACGTGAATCGTGATTGACTAACACGATGTGTGTTAGCTAATTCACCTGAAGTCCGTCATTGGTCTTGCCCCAATAGACGCTCCCAAACCCGCCTTCTCCCAACTTGTTGTCCTCGCTAAACCCATTGGTGGCGACGTGGAGCTCTTTGTATGTGAAGATCCGCCACGTGGTGTTGCTCGCCGACACGGCGGCGGCGGCGGCCGCTCCCTTCATTGATCTGCGGCCACCAAAACAACTTTAATTTAATTAACATTTCAACCCAAAAACCAGCTAGTGATAGAAGATTGAAGGGAATCAATCATTACGTTACCTTCCATCGACCGAGTCTCCGGCGCAACAGCTAGAGCCTGCTCCCATGGCGGCTGAGGAGGAAAGAGATTAGAAGGGAGGATTGGCAAAGGGCATTTGATAAGAGAGATTGGCAGATTGGAAGGTAATTATGCTAAAGGTTCTTGTTTTTAAACAGAACATCAAAGACGATAAAAAAAAAACATATAATTCGTGCCACCGGGCTTTGCCGCCTTGGGCCGGCCGGCTGCCTTGTGTTTGAAGGCATATACGATATTATAATAATCTTTTGTACTCGAGCTTTTGGATTAAAGATAATCAATTGAGGGGTTGTATAAATGATACACACATATCAATTCCAAACGAAAGAATATAAGTGTTCTTTCAGGTTTGGGTTCCTATAAAATAATTTTGATTCCCTTCAAACATTTATTACAAATTAAGGAAAAGACGCGTAATCTATAATTGTCGATCACTCGATTTGGTATTATAGATTTCAAGCTGTAGACAACGATGTGGTTGAAACGATTGACTTCATCTTATTAGAAAATTTTGAAGTTTAAGTCTTCTATTGATATGAGGACGTTTATGACACTAAGAATACATACCAATGACAAGAATTAAACCTATACAATTATAGGCAACAACAAAAAACCACTACCACTGTGTAATCACAAAACTCAAATAAATATAATTTATTGTGTGCTCATTTCTACAAACAATGTTTCATCATGTTCATAGGCTTCCCCCAAACCAATGTTCTTGTGACCAGAAATGACCCAAAAAAAAAAAACATTAAAAAATTTGCATTTTACAACTTCTTTTTTGTTTCAACTTTGAACAAGATCAACAATATGCTAGAAAGAAAACTTCTCTTGTTTGCCAATTGGACTGATGCCAATCTGCCGTTCTAGCTAGTTACATCATCTTCTCTTTGTTTTTTATCGACTGAAGGAATAAAATGTCAAACATGGTTGTACTCTCCATTGTCCAAACGGAGCTATATTATTTGAAGTTGGGCGGTGATGAGGAGAACTAATGAAATAAAACCAAAAGTTCCTCATCTGGTCTCATCCAAGACATTTTTGTTATATTTTAGGAGAACTAATGAAATAAAAGAAAACTAACTAGTAAAATTGCATTCAACCCGATTTGATATGGGCAGAACCGTTGCACAACCCTGATGAGCGGGGAAGAAGAAGAATGGGTGGGTTGGAGGCCCAAAATAGGAAATAATTGAAGCCCTACCAAAGATTAGAGGAGGCCAGATTTAGGGCGATTTTTCCGAAATGCCATTTTCTCTATATTTTGGAGGCTACAGATCACGGATTCCGCCCGAGGCTATTCTCCACATATAATGAAGTCTATCGATCCAATTCTCCAAGGATGATGAAGCCCATTAAGCACCGATTTGGGCGAATTAATTTTCAGATGGCATTATCGTAATATCTAGGGGGATTTTTTTCGAAAG